ACTCATAATATCACGTTTAATAAATTTCTTTAAAACATGTTTAGGGTGTGTTTGTTGTGAAGGAAATAGAGGGAAAAGAAGGGGAGAAAAAATTTCAATAAACTCATTTTAAAAAAATTGAGAAGCGGAGTTAACCTTTTTTATTAATTTTAATTACTTTTTTATCTTATATTTTCTTTTTAGTAAAAAATTGAAGTCATTAAAATTTTTCCTCTTTTCCCTTTCTCTCCATTTTCCTCGTACCAAATAGAGCTCAGTATCATTTGAGTTATAAATTAAAGCCCTGATGAGTAAAATTGATTTCAATATCGTGATAATTTTTTATGGGGAAAAGATCATGATAATTTTACTTAGAGAGAGAGAGAGAGAGAGAGTCTATGCTTTAGGCATGATATGTATGTAAAATATTGCTAACTCAACAAACTTTTCATGCGACGAGGAAGATATGTTAAATATAAAAAAAAAAACCAATGAATTTTCGTAACTTGATGGTTATACTACCTTGGTCTATTTTCCCTTTTTTTCAATAACTTAATTAAATTCCTGGTCATTCAATAAACGTAGTTAAATTAATTAAAAAACAATAACTCGAACAGAATCGAGAAACTCAAACAACGGATGGGGGGAAAAAATGGCCGGATAATCTCGTATCTTATTTGGTTCGGAAGAACTTCTCACCAATGTGTCTGGGTGGTGTAGTTGGTTATCACGCTAGTCTCACACACTAGAGGTCCCCGGTTCGAACCCGGGCTCAGACAAGGGTCCATGTCATTTTTATTTTTTATTTTTTTAATTTTTGGGTTGACACTTTGGTGCTTCTCGAACATGCTTGAACCAGCCTGCCCCGTGGGGTTTTGTTATCTCAGGCTTTGCTCATCTTTACTGAAGCTGGGCTGACTAAGTTTTAGTCAACGTTGGTGGCTTGTTTCATATGCCTTTTTCGAAAAACAAATGAAAAAAGATACCATCATTAATCAACTGACAAACTGTCACTGTCACTTAATATATGCCTCTACATGTTTCCAATGGCCAAGTTTCCAGCATAATTCTAGACCATTTATGATGCCCTCAATTTGATTAATTAAAACAGGTGTAAGTGGGCTAATTACATGATTAATTAGATAACAAAACCTCAAGCTTCTAATAGAGTTTTTATAATGAAAGCTTGGTTATGATGATTCTTGTCTTTGAGCAATCAAGGCTTTATGACCATGAATCCATGGAATAACAAAACCACCAAGTTCCCAATCAGTTTTGTAAAAACTGAACTATGATTTCAGAAGTCATTTTACGGTATATGAAGTAAATATATAAAAAAGTTTATCTCGATTTGTAAAAAAATATTTTTTACAAACACTTTTCATGCTATCTAAAGAAAAATAATGGACATTCTTTGAGCAATCGAAGTTTAGGACAGTTTTCCTTCCATTAATTTTCTGGCCCAACGCCTTGCAGAAAGGTGGCAATGCAAAGATTCGTAACTAATCATTTTGCCCATTAGTAGTTTTTCCAAAAAGAGTGAGGTGATTTTTCCATAAGAGAGCGTTGGCCCATACCCATATTTCTGAGCCGCGGTCCAAAAACCATGTGATGGCGATGAGCTAAACGCAAATTATGGTTATTTCAGTTGTTGATTTACCCATAGACATTCACATTTATTTTGTTACATATATTTTTTTATATAATTTAACTAAATAGATTGGATGGCTTATTTTAGTGTGCTAAGGGGTCATAGGCACAAAACCCCCCTAGCCACCTTATTTATATAAAAAAAAAAAATTGACCAAAGGAGCTCAGTGACTAGCCACCAATGGCTAAAGGTCTGGCGGGTTGGAGCTCTAGCCGGCCGGCTAGCCATCGGAGTTCTGGCAAGGTTCATCTTTTTGGGAAAAAAAGCATAATGTAAGGGTATAATTATATTTTCACCTATGACATTTAATTTTATTTTGGCCAAAAGTGTTGAAATGAAGTTTCAGAATCTTATGAGGCCGTTGAAAATTAAATCTTTTTAGAGGAGGCCAACGAAAATTTTCCATTTTTATTTTACTTTGGCGTACTGTAGTTTGACCAAAATGTTCACCATTAATTTTAATCAATGGTTTGCGAAGTGCCATGTAATGTCAGTCTGTTATTAAATTCACCACAACTTGTTTCGTAATTAAAAATCAAATTAAAGTACCTAATAGAATGCAACACACACACCATAGATAAATTATAATAGGGATAAAATGCTTAAATATCTAAAAAACATTCACAGAGGAGCGCCCAACAATTGAAGTTTTGTTGCTCTTATATGCCTTAAGAATTTATTTTTGTAGTATTTCTGTCATGAACCGTTATTTGTTATTAAATTTGATCATAAAAACACCAATTAAACCGTTAATTAGTGTTTTTAATGATCAAATTTAATCATGATAGAAATGCTGTGAAAATAAATTTCAAGACATAGAGGGGGGAAAAAACAATTATAGGAGCTGGATACTCTTTTAAGGATATTTTCGGAATATTTAAACACCTTATCTTATTATAATTTAACCACTTACTTTGAACAAATTTGAACAGGTATATAATTTTCTTTCTATTCGAGCCCCCTCTTGTTTCAATATGCCCAAAACATGACGCTTTTCCAACAAAAATTTAGAACATTAGTTTAGATGGAGGTGCCCACCCTACGTAATAGTGTAAGCTGGCAAAATAGTAGCACTTGTGCTGGAGATCAAAACATGTGTCTGTAAGTGCGACTTTTTATAAATTTTTATTAAACATATTCATATAAACAACACAGCTACTAGTAAAAGTATTGAATAAGGAGAATTATCATGATCCAATCCAAAAATTTAATTATCAAGAAATCCTAATAATAAGTAATCAGCATAAACCTATTATCATTTCCTATCCTAAAATTTGTATTTGCATTCTTTAGTTGGCAATGAATTTTAGAGCAATCAAATTCCTTCCTTAAAACCTAATTGTAAATATTCTTTGTATTAAATATTGATATACTCATTCCATAAGATTATTCTACTGTCCTTTTAGAAATTTAAATTAAGTCAATTGTTATAATGTGAAAAACTACTTTCGATTCTCAATATAAGAGATAAATAAACAATTTAGGAATGTTAAAAAAAATAATTAAATTCGTTATTTATAATAGTATATGTTGAATTTACTAAACTACTATATTTAATCATGTTTATTAGAACTCTTCCTTCGTGAGTATCTCTAAAATTAATAGGACATTTTGAGAGGGAAAATTATAAATTTAAGAGATAAAATAAATCGAAGATTTTATATTTAATACTAAATCAAATCCCAGGCAAATTTTTATATTAAGGAGGAAGGTAGTACTATTGTACTCCTCCGATCCTTATTATAAGACTCTATTTGACTTTTTATTTGGTCATAATTATAAGACCCCAATCCATTTTGTCTCTTATATTTATGCATTTTTTTCCAAGATAATCCTTCTAATAATGATAGTTTTAGCCAATATACTTAATTAGCAAGGATATTTTAGGAATGACAACATTTATTTATTATAAATAACCAACTTAACTTACTTCCTTAATCTCCTCAAATAAGTCAATTGGGTCTTATAATTAGGACCGGAGGAGTATTAGATTTGAAACGCAGTAAGGTATAGGAAGAAATCCAAAACAAAACTGCGGGTTTCAATCACAGAACACAGCTTTACATTGGAAATGTATATGAAAAATTAATTAACCTAAATCCTTGAAAACCTAGTCTACTCCGAAAGGGTTCCAAACACAGTAACACTCGATGTCTAGAGAAAGCACTCATGGACTTAGCTGCACCATTTTTAGCAGAAAGTAATGGAAGCTTTAAACCGCGCATGCATTTTTGCCTATTGTCTACGCAATATATCACTTTTTACACTATATATATATATATATATATATATATATATATATATATATATATAGCTCTCTCATGATTCTGGTTCTTCTTTTCCCACATGAATGGCACTTACACTATATTTTCATTATAACTTCATTTGGTTTAAAACCTCCATATATCAGCAAAGCGTTCTATACAAAGACAATGATTTACAGAGGCCATGGAAGGTAAGGTCCAACTTATAGGAGAGACCTACAACAAACATCTATATATAAATATATGAGTGACATTCTAATCATCCTCCACTATAAGCCTTCCCATCCATTTCTTGCACAAAAATCAATATCTTTAAAGTAATTCTCTTCCATGCCATGTTTTTCCATTCATGATATTCAATAAAGATTCTTTTCCTTTTTTTTCTTGGAGTTAAAGTGGCAGACACTAATCGCTTAAGGTTATAAATGGGATCAAACCTATGAACCCCCAATTACAAAAAGAGCTTACATGTCATTAAGCTATAAGACCATTGGCATAATCTTTTCCTATTTTTAATGATATATTCCTCCGGTCCTTAATATAGGACCCAATTATTGAGTTGGTTTTAGTCCTAAATATAAGACTCATTTCTCATATTTATCAATTTTTTCTAAATTACCCCTATGGATACTCCCTCAACTATAATCAAGTAGAAGAGGAAGATGTGGTATTAAGAAAGATGATTATGGTATTTTAAGAAAAACGTGTCACATTTCTTATAATTAACTAATTTACCTAACTTCCTTAATCTAATCAAATTAGTTAAATAGGTCTTATATTAAGGACCGGAGTAGTATATTAGATGAGGAGATGAGGCGGAATTTAACTCAGCATGTTGCTTTAAATTGTAAGTTCAAACTTCCTCATTTCAGAGAATTTTTCAAGACCCATGGTTTAACTTCATTTAATTATTTTTGATGTCACAAAAGAACTTGTTGTTGACTTTTGAAATTACAATTTGATTGTATATATATAATAATTAGATCAGAAAAATTAATCAGCGTTGATCATAGTGAAAATTAAAGGGCTTTTACAATATAAAAATACAAATAACTAGATCAGAAAAAGAGAAAATATTAGACAAGCATGTAAAAAAGTTAAATAATGGATCTTGATAACAGCTTTAACACGTCCCTACTCAAAATATCAAAATAATTACAAGAATGTTAGCAATAACCCAACCGTTGTAAGTTGGAATATAAGAAGCAGCACTCAAGTTGAAGAAGCTCCATAGCATAATTAAGCAAATAATCTCAGTCATAGCTCACCATGAAGGTTAAGTATATCAGCAAAATTGATCCGATGCTTGACCTATTAATTCCAGAAATTAAGTTAAACACGCAGAATAATTAACATTAATAACTACTCAATTGATTAATTAATTATTAATTATTGATCACGGGTATTGAAACTTACAAAGTGGCAAAGAAAAGAAGAACCTTCTTGGGATCAAGGCCCCAGTTGGAAGAGCGTTTGAAACTGTTTCTGCGATCCATGCTTTTGCTTTTGGCTTCACCCATCATGGCGGTGGCCGTCATTACCGTAATCTGATGATGAAACCGTGGGCTGCCGTAATTATTGGCCGACCCCACCACCGGAGCCACCATCTTTTCCGGCGTGCCGGCCACATTACAACACCCTATACCACAAACATGTACAAGCCGATATATATCAATAAACTATTCCAAACTGTCGCCAAACTAATTCATTTATGCTCGTGGATGATCATATTCCAATGTCAGACAGCTAAACTGTTCTGTATAATGACACATTCAAATGGTAGGTTCCTTCCTTAAGTTCAAGTGTCTGGGTTCTCTATTTTTCAACCCCAAACTAACTAACTTCAACCACCTGCCTCTCACCTGGCCCTGGCCTTATAGGTTTCCTTCCTTCTCCTAGCTACCTTCCATTTTACTCTTGACTTTCAAATAATAACATTAACAACAATAATATACTCCTTCTCATCAATAATACAAAGGCAACTAAACTAATTTAAGTAGATTAAAAAATTCAATTATATTTGTTAATTATAATAAATGTGACCTGATCTCTTTAAAATATCTGCATGTAACATTAGACTATATATCTATATATAAATTAAAAAAATTAGTCCCAAAAAAATAATGGGATAAATTGCTTAAATCTCCTGAAAGTATTTATGAAGGAATGTCGGACATTTATGATTTTTTTTTACTCTTATTAGTTTTAAAAATCTTATTTCCTAGTATTTTTATTTTAAACCATTATCCCTGTTAAGTTTGACCACTAAAGATACCAGTTAAACTACATAATTTAATAGTCAACTTAATAGCGGAGAACTGCCAGAGTATTTATGTTAAAAAAAATAAACTTTTAAGACAAATAAGAGCAAGAAAAACCTATAGGTCTTGAATGCGCCTTCGTGATACTTTAATTATATTTAAGCACCTTATCTCAAAAATAATAAATATAAGACACGGAATAAATTTAAAACTTCAATTAGCTTCTATGAGTATGCATAAGCAAAATCGAACCTTTGGGTGAGGAAGAGCATGCAGAAGGGACAGCATCCCAATCAAGAAGCGCAGCAGCTGGGACATTAACCTTCTTGTCGCTCCACCCTTTCCTCGAAACACTCCTCTGCAACTGATTTCATTGTAAATAACCCAAATTTATTCTGAATTACAATGATTACCACAAATATATTATTATACTTGAAATATGATACTATGAATAATTAAGTAGGCCCAGTTCCTAATGGAATACTCCACATCAATTCATTCATGCTCTGAAATCTCTATGTGCAGTATGTGTTTAATAAATGCCATTGAAGTGACGCTGAAGCTTCAAGTTTGCAGTAATAAATGCTACTAATAATAGAACTGACGAGGTTTGCCTCACTGTAACACAACAGAATTCTGTTTGAACATCTGTCAAAAACAAAAATAATCACAGAACTTTGGCTTCTGAGAAATCAAGAGGAAGAACTCACTGTGATTCTGGGATTTGAATTACTATCTTTGTTGGTGTTGGCAGAAGAAAATGCTTCCATATCTATCACGAAGCTGTCGCTGTCTAAAATCGATATTTTTGGTTCTGATTCATCAAATGGTTCAGATCCAGAATTCATGTTCTGGAAAACAAATCAAAGGAAAGATTGGATGAGAAGAGTGGAAGAAGAAGAAGGATAAGAAGAAGAAGAAGAAGACGAAGCTAAACCACCCAGAATAAGAAAGAATAAAAATAACAAACCCAGAAATGGAATTCTTACCAATACTGGAATTCCAGCCATTTAGAAAGGAGATGAGTCTTTGGAGGGTTTAGTGCCAATGTCGTTGCGTACCGAATGGGGCAGAGACTACCCACCACCTGATTAGACCCCACCCGAAAGGTCAAAGCTTTGTGAAAATTCAGGCAAAAAAAGCAAGACAGAAATTAACATAGGAATAAACAAACACTAGAATCAAAGTGGAACATGGAATATAAAACTGAAAATGGGCTTACAGAGGATAATCTCTCTGCTTCGTCTGCTTCGTTGCTCTCTCAGAGTCTTCAAATCAGAAGAAACAAAGAGAGGAGAGGGAAATATGGAAGGTAGGCAAAGAGAGGGCAAAGCATCATCATGTGAGGTTCACAAAGAAACAAAAAGATCTGCGGCACAAGGTTGGAAGTTTCAGATGCTGATGATGGCTTTCCCTTTTATATGATTTTTTTATATATGTTTTCAGCCCTGTGCTCAAGAAAATCCAGCTATTATATTGACCTTAACCATCCCTTCTCTCTCTCTCTCGATAAGATACCCATATATTCGGCAAAAATATATACCCATATATCGTAGGAAGTTTGAAGCTTATGTAATAATTAAGCAATAATCTCCTTAATCTTGATATAAAATGTAATTAACTAATTTGAATAGATTAAAGATGTTAGTTGAATTAGCTAACATAACCATCTTTCTTAATTCTTTCTCTCCATTTTCTACTTGATTACTGTTGGGAGAATATCAATAAGATTAATTGAAAAAAAATTGATAAACATATGAAATATGTTTTATATATATAGGACCAACAGCAATTTCTCAATTAGATCTCATGTTAAGAACAGGAAGATTACCTGCTATATTTAGTGTAAAAATTAGATAATATATTTGAGAATATTAAAAAAAATTAGTTATATTGGTTATTTATTACTAATATGGGTTAGTATGTCTAAACTATTCTCTTTAATCATGTACAATAGAATAATATCCTTTGATGAGAATCTCCTATAACTAACATAGATATTTTGGAAAAGAAAGAAAGAAAGAAAGATAGTAAATTAAGATCTTATATTTAGAATCAAATTTAGTCATCAACTAATTTTTATAATATTAAGAACCATAGGTAGTATTATTGTTTGGCTCTTCATATTTCTTTTGACTCGTGCTGTGTGGATATAATTTTTTATTTTTAAGAAATTTACAATATACTCTCTTAAATTTTTATATTTCTACGAAAATAGCTCGCTCGTTATTGATTTGCTATTTATTGATTTATATATATAACCTTAAATAAAGCTTAAGGATTCCTTTTTATTAATAATATATTATGCTCCGTTAATGAAGTAACGAAATAACTCAAAATGATAAGTTATCTTCATAAAAACGTTTGGCAGAATTATTTGTAAAGTTTTTTTTTCTTTGCCATAATATTTGTTAAGTTTTTAAAATTAATGAGAATCTCCTAAAAATTATAGTTTTATCTAATTTAGAGGTGTTTGGATAGAAACCAAATTATGATTTTTATCTTGATTTGGATGAAAATATTTTAAAATGCTTTTAGGATATTACAAAGGGAAAATATCAAATAAATAATTTTAAAATATGAACATCCCATATCAGTGACTCCAGTTCCACTTATCCCAAATCAGTATCCAGATATCAAATTGGGATTTTTGAATGTTGTTGAATTACTATAGTGTCCTCTCTGATTCTTCCTTCTATTCTCTCTTTTCATCGCCCGCTCTATTTCTCTCTCCCACAAGCATCCCATGCCACTGCTACTGGTAATGGACCAAAAGTCCAAGTATCACAATAATGGATGGGGAATCCACCTGGCTTTCTACCATCCGAAATAGAGGAGGGACTCTATTAATTCATTTTAACAATTTTTATAATTGGAAAAAGTGTTTATCAGCTGCAAGATTGTGATGGTGAGTAAATAATGGGATGCAGTGAATTGTTATACAGCATTGTAAACAAGCAAAAGTTGTAAATAGCTTTGAAGGAATGGTCTCATTCATTTATTTTTTCTAGATGAAACAAGGGATCCCTAGGTCATATTGGACTCGAGACTAATTCCTTTCAGGTTTAGAGCGGTTAAAGAATATTCCTTCAAACAAATACGCTTTTTGAGATTCAAACTTGTGCTCTCTTCCTTACAAGGGTGAGGCCGTTACCACCTCAACCAACAACTTGTTGGTATTTTAATTAGTCGTGTTGACAATTTTTCTAACTAGATTAACATTACTTTTATATGTATTGACAATAAATAATAAGGAAAATTCATTACAACTTTGTTAGTTACATTAACAATACTTTTCTATTTATTGACAATTTTTCTAACTAGATTAACACTACTTTTATAAGTAATTAGAAAAATTTATTACAAGGCAAACCAATTGACATAATTAGGCATATCACATGCTGGCGCTGCTAACTAGTTATGGCCATTGAGAGCTCTTCCAAATAGATTGACAATAATTTTATATATATTGACAACAAGTAATCAGTGAACTTCATTACATAACAAACCAATTAGAAAACTTAGTCAAATCCCATGCTACCCTCTTGTTTGATGTATTGACAACTCTTTCATATCAATTAACAACATTTTTATATAAATAAATTACACTAACTTGCTTTCTGCATTGTCTTTCTTTTTGTCAATTTATGAGGGCAAACTTGTCTTTTGGCTACATTTGGAAATGTCAAATTAGTACTCCTGTTCTGATTTGGGTTTTTACTTTTCACTGGTACTGATATGATGTTTAGTATATTTAATGGTATTTTTATACCTTTTTCCTATTGCAAACACCCATTTAGTCATTTTATATGAAGAATCTTATAATTTATCGCTGCTATTTTAGCTTATTCTTTGAATTGTGCATTCAAGTAAATAAGTCTCAATAACAAAACAAGAGAAATCCTTTTTTCACAAAAAGAAAAGAAAGTTCAATTCGTGTGGAAAAGCAACCATAGAATATACACTTTGGATTGTTAATCTAAGACCTAATTAACTACTCTCAGTAAATTAAAGATATTAGTTAATTAAATTAGTTAATGTAATATATTTTTTTTTATATAAAAGACCCTAATCATACTGCTTAATTTGTTTTCTCCTTCTTTGACTTGATTATTATTGAGAGAATATCAATGGGGTTAATTTGAAAAAAATTGATAAACACTTGAAATGGGTTTTACATATGAGATCAGCATAAACTCTCAAATTAGATTTTATATTAAAAACAGAAGGAGTATATATATATCACCAATAAATACTATGACAATACAAATGAAATAGTTCAGTATATATAATATATTTCATGAATTTATAAGGTTACCGTAGGTTTCATATATTGATTATTTCCATACAAAAATGTAGTTTGCTGATCAGAAGATTGTTGAATGAACTGCTCTTTTACATGGTAGATTTTTGTGGGTTCATGATCATCGTCCAAATTCAATGTCCATTATATATTTGGAACTGATCTCGATAGAACAATTAATCTGAATTTTATGCTTTTTTAAATTGGATTGATCGGCAATTAATTTGAAAATATATGACTTATTGAATATATATTTATTTCTCAAATAAACTTCAAAGTGACATAAATATTTTCAATAGTAAATTAAATTAGCAGAATATTAGAAAAAACTTACTTGAATTTTCGGAGGTTTTAGGCAAGGTCTGATATATATATATATATATATATATATATTATATTTATATATTTATATATTTATATATGTCTAATTTTTAGAATCCTCAAACTCAAATGCACGATCTGGAATCTATGAAAAAGACAAGATAGGCTATCAGTAACTTCCCTTTTCAAAATTTAAATCTTACTTGAATTTAACATAATATCGATATCAATTATTTAAAAATAATTCATAATAAGTATCTTAAATTTAAATTTTAGATTTTTCGTTTGATTTTATATTTCATCTACATTCAGCTATCGTTTTGATTACTTCCTGTTTACAAAAGAGTCATACGGATATCTTAGACTGAAAATATAAACAAATATAATTATTATGTGTTTGTGGGGAAAAAAAAGCATAAATAAGAGTAATAAGAAAATAAATATAGATTATCCATATATGTAAAATCATGCCACTAGTTACGGGCACAAATGATAGCCTAAATACTAGTCGGAAGAAGGGAATTTATATACTTCCTTCGATGCATCAAACAATGTTAAAAGCTAATCATTAAATATGGTAGTGATTAAAATCTCAGTAAAAAAAACCGGACCAAATTAGTTGGTTCACTAGTTTGGTTTTGTCATTAAATTGGTATTGAACATACAAAAATTGGTATGAACCTGTGATGAATATCTTAGTCACTGTAAATTTAAATGAATTTTAATGATAATTTTAATATCAGTAATTATTAATTTAGTTATGGATAAATGTTAAAGATCAAAGTTCTCAATGTTGTTGTACTTTATTATTATTACAGTCAAATTATTATTATATTTCTTTGTATTTTTTATTAGTGATTTTATTAGTGATTATTAATGTTATTATATTTTGTTATTTTTAATTAAATTATATTATTTTGATATGACCAGTTTGACTCCTAACTGATTCCAGTCCGACCAATTAACCCTTAAATACCTCAATCGGTTTAGTATTTAGTCTGATTTTTTATTCATCAATTAAAATAGTAATAATACTAGTTATAATTCTTGAAAGAATTGAAAATTGATCTATGTTCCATATAACTTTTTAGTGAAGACTTGTCAATAAAAAATAATTTATTATTGCATATGTATCTTGGTAATTTTGCATGTACTTTATAAAAGATTAATTAAAACAATGTTTTTGATAAACTAAAACAATTTTAAATAAAATAATCTATAAAAATGACAACATATTATTTGAATGATCTAGGTTTTAAGTTTTTAATTAATTATTTTTACATAGAAACATTTTTTTTTAAAAAAAATGAAAGTTAAGAGATTATTTTTATTTTATATTCTATACCTATTAAAATAATTATTTTGAATGAATAAAAATAAAAAAAATTAAATCTAGATGATTCAAGTGAAATCTGAAAGGTCTAGATTTGATAAGCTTAGATTGCTTATTAAAATGATAAGCACTGTAATTGGTTCTGTTTAAATGAGGGTTGGCCCTTAATGGCCTTTTAAAAGGACTGGACCTAAAAATCTACTTAGTATTGTTATGACCGAGAAAAAAAACATATTATTCCTCCATTCCTTAATATAAAATTTATTTAATTAATTTAATTAGATTAAGAAAGTTAGATAAATTAGTTAATTATAAGAAATATGGCATATTTTTTTAAAACATCATAACCATCTTTTTTAAGATCTTCTCTCTCACTTCTACTTGATTATAGTTAAGAGAGTATCAATTAAAATAATTTAAAAAATTAATAAATATGAAAAATAGATCTTACATGTAATACCAATATTAACTTATCAATTAAGTTCAACATTAAAGACCGAAAGAATATATTTTTGAGAGGCCTAACCCTCAATTTATATAGATTTAAACAGGCCAGCACAACAGATTGGCCTAAAAGATACATTTTGAATTATTTTCTTTTTGAGAAATATAAATCTCAATCAAGTTTAGCCATCTAAAATTTGAATTAAATTTTTTTACTTTAAGTTATAATTCACTAATTATCATTTCAATTACTAGAAATTAAATATTTAGTACAAAAAACTACATGGTCGAAAGACGCCCACGACACAGGATTTGCAACCAGTATTTTTTTATCATCTGGTATATGTTTCCTTTTTTCCCCTTTCAAGTCAAGAAATTTTTTTAAACAATTTTCCGGCTATACTTTTTTTTTATTTTAACTGGAAGTAAACGACTGGGTTTTTATGAATTGGGTCTTAATGCTGGGCTCAGCCCAATCAGTTTTGGGTCCAGTTTAGGTGATAACTTGTAAAGTTGGAAACTAATGATGGTTGGGTTCAAAGCTAATCTTTCACAACTTGACAAACTAAAATTTAAATTTTTATTAAAAGATGTACATGTATTTAGTGTCTTTATCGAGATTAATTCTAATATAAAGGTGCATGTGTCTTTAAACAAAAAAAATCGTCAAGGTGGTATATGAGGTTTCAAAAATGAACAATAATGCTAAAAGCGCATGCCCTGTTGTCACCAAAAACACAGAAAATAAATGCCCTGTTTATTGAGTATTCGTATATGCTTTTCCCAGCAGACATGGTACGAAACCTTTATACCTTATTCTAGCCGACTTTACTTCTCTTTGTTCTCTCTCTCTCTCTCTCTCTTTTTTGGGTTTATAGAGCTAGAACTATAAGCATTTTCGTAGGTCTAGGTTCATAGTTAAATAGATAAATATTGCATAAAGTCACAATTAATAACCTAGTGTCGCTACTGTTAACCTATCTATGATTTAGGTATATAAAACAAAGCTCCCTTTAATAGGGATAACTAATATCAATAATTTGGAAGAAAAATAATACACCTAAACACGAATTCCCCAACTACCTCTTCTTTCTAAAATCAAATTATCGCGACCAAAAAGCTATATGGATTTAGGAGTGTCTAGGTGAAAGACAAAATTCATAATTTTAAAAATGATAGAAGTTTTATTTTGACTTGAGTAATAAAAATAAAAAAATACTCCATTCAATCTTAAATATAAGATTTAATTTATAATACTACCTCCGGTCCTAATTATAAAAGTTGGTTGATAAATTTGAAGAGATTAAGAAAATAAGTTGAGTTAGTTATTTGTAATAAATATGTGTTATCTTTCCTAAATATCCTTACAAGTGTATGAGCTCGAACTACTATTATTAGACGGACTATCTTGAAAAAAATATATAAATATGAGAGACAAAGTGAATTGGGATCTTATATTTAAAACCAAAATAAAAATCAAATAAAATCTTATATTAAAAACTGAAAATAATATAATTTATATTATAAAATAGATCTTAAAATACTTTGACAGAAAAGCAAACAGCCATTGGTTACTAATCTGTCTGGTATTTGCAGGCCCGACCCTGTGGATTCGTGCAACTATTGGATTGGAAAAGAGAGTTGTCTTAGCAAAGCATGCAGCTCATTACCCAGAATACACCGCTTTAATCTCCAACAAAGCTTATTCTTTTCTTTCTTCTTCAAACATCCTTAAAGTTCTCAACTTCATCTTCACTCTCCTCCCCCACCTTCTTCTTCTTCTTCTTCAATCTTCACTACATAAATATAATGTTCCACCAGATGCTTCTGTTCCAATCCAACATTGCAACTTCTAAGCTTCCCGACGCCCCTCGCCGGAAGGTACAATGCGCGGCGACGACACCCACGTACCCATTCACTACCAACAAACCCCCGCCAACCAATCCAAACCCCTTCGCCGCCACCATACGGCCCGCTACTACGTGCAGCGCGTCCAAGACAGCCTCACCACGCGCGTCTCCAAAGTCCTCTGCAGTATTTTCTTAAGCCTTCTCGCCATTGTAGGTCTCATCGCCTTCATCTTATGGCTAAGCCTCCGCCCGCACCGACCCAGATTCTATATCCACGACTTCTCTGTTCCGGGTCTGGGTCAAGAATCCGGATTCCAGAACGCCGAGATAACGTTCTTCGTCACGGCCCGAAACTCCAACCAGCGTATGGAGATTGAGTATGAGGCCATGGACGGGACGGTGTATTACAGGGATCAGAATATCGGAACGATGCCGTTGCTGTTTCCGTTTTCCCAGGAGCCGAAGAACACGACGGAGGTGCACGGCGTTTTGAGCGGAGCAACGTTGACGGTGACTAGCCAGCGCTGGGCGGAGTTTCTGAACGATAGGGCTCACGGGAGTGTGGTCTTCCGTGTGGAATTGACGTCCACGATTAAGTTTAAGGTGGCAACGTGGCAAAGTAAGACCCATCGGATGCATGCAAATTGTGACGTGGGTGTGGGCCCCGACGGGAACATATTGAGTACGTACAAAGATAAGAGATGTCCCGTTTATTTCTCTTGACATGTTTGGGGGCGTTGGTTTGCACGTGAGAGAGAGCATCTTCTTTCTTTCCTTTTATTTTTTAAAAAATTATTTTGTCAATTTTACATTTGCTCGTAATTATGTATTGATTATTGACTTGAATTTTCAGTTCATTAGTCTGTTTGTATTGTTGACTGAAATTTGACTTTATAGTTATACAATGAAAGAGTGTTTGTTTATAATCTCATGCATTTGCTAGATTTCTTTTTTGTTACATTAATTTGCTCAAATTTTGGATAATATTATACAGTACCACCTCCGGTCATTAATTTGATTTTGACATTCAATTTGGTTCTAAATATAATACTTAATCCATTTTATCTACCATATTTATCTACTTTTTAAAGTAGTTCTTATAATATTGCACATGTTAAATATTTTATCAAATGGTAGTTCTAATTAATACATAAGATTAGCAATGGTATTTTAGGTAAGACAACACCTAATTATTACCGGTAACTAATTCAACAAACTTTTTTAATCTACCTAAATAAGTCAACCAAATTTTATACTACCTCCGGTCCTTAATATAAGATCTTGTTTGATTTTTATTTTAGTCCTAAATATAATACTCCAATCCACTTTGTCTCTCATATTTATACATTTTTTTCCAAAGTAGTCATTCTAATAATGATAGTTCTAGTCAATACACTTGATTAGCAAGAATATTTTAGGAAAGACAACACCTATTTAGGACAAATAACTAACTCAACTTACTTTCTTAATATTCTCAAATTAGTCAACTGGCTCTTATAATTAGAACATGAGGTAGTATTATGAACTGGAGGCAGTAATAACTTACGCCCTAACCGATTTCTCTCATATATTGAAGGTGTTATAAGATTCAAAATCAATAAGTAGGTAGTTGATGTTGTGTTGGCTCAATTGATAATAAGCACTTCCTTAAATTTTGTTAGCATGAGTTTGCGTGTTCCACCCTTTGTAAACATGATAACTGTGTGTGTTCCTTCTGCTTACTTAGTGAGACATAATGCATGGAAATTAAAGAGATAACAAAAACAATCGTTTTGCGCGTTTATTGAGTATCTGTAAGTTGGTTTTATGACGATTGGCCGTAACTAGTTTTTTCCTCCCATCCATTGTACGTACCTAAGTTAATTGCATCTAACCAACGCGGGATGCTTGTTCAGGGAAAACTAATCTGTTATTATTATTAGGAAAAAAAAAATTAAATAAACACATTGACCATCACTTTTAACTCGATAATAACTATTCACAAAATTTAACTCAATGCAACTCGGAACTAATATCTTAAGTGACTAAACCATATGGATTGGGCTGTACCAATTAAAGCTCATGAATCGAGCCTCAATAAAATCAAAATTATAGGAATTAAGTTGCACTGAGTTAAAATCTAGAAACTAAGTTATAATCAAATCAAACTATAAGCACAAAAAAAAAAACTCCGACTCTAAATATAAGAATTAGCTAACTAATTTGAGTATATTAAGAAAATAAGTTAAATTAGTTATTTGTAATAAATATGTACTGTCTTTCATAAAATATCTTTATTAAAGTTTTTTTGCTAGAATAACCATTATTAAAAGGACTATACTGGAAAAAAATGAATAAATATGAGAGACAAAGTATGTTGTGATCTTATATTTAAAAGCAAAATAAAAATAAAACAAGATTTTATATTAAAAATCGGAGGTAGTATTAATCTTCCCATTCTTTTAAAAGAGATCTTGCTTGCATAATTAAGGGACCAGAGGGCGTACTATAAACCAAACTACATATTAAGGGACATGTTATTGTGATTTCAATTTGCGTTGTTGCAATACTCTCAATAGAAATAATTCTTATTAGATTATGACTTTGTTTGAATTAGTATTTGAAATCACTTATAAGCACATTTTATTTAAGTCAAGATAAAACTCTTCTCACATATTTGTTTTATATTCCATAAAGAATAATTAAAAAGCTACTTATAAACCATTCTAGATGGGCCATAATCAAATGTCAATTGCTAATGGGCTGCATATGGTTGGTCCTCTGGCCCAGTAGTTGTACATTCTGTTTATTAATCAATAAAATCTCTTTTTCCTCTTTACCCTCTAAGTTTAATATCAATAATATAACACGACACAACGAATAATAATAATATACTTTGAAAAAGAAAACTTATTTAACAACGTAAATAATACATAAGTTAATCCCAGTTAATATAATAATTATCATAAACAATTCATTAATTGCATCACATGGGATTATAATTTAATTAACTACTGAATTTAAATGTTGGTGAGGGAAGATTGGGGTTTCCCATTAGGTAATATATTTTATAATTATATTTTAATATTTTAAATCAAATATTAAATTGATGTCAATGAAGAATATCTCTTATGCCTGTTTCTATATTGTCAAGTTTAATTTTTTTAATAACTAATTACAGGTAATTTTTTTAATAACTAATTACAGGTAATTTTCCTGTCACCATTTTTAAGAAATATAATCATTATTAATAATAATCTTTCTATGCTAGTGATAATGACTGCATTTAAAATTGCAAATCAATTTGTAAACGTTAATTCTTGATTTAATTATTTGTTAGATGCCTTTGACTAGAATAGAAACGCACAAGGTTGAAGAATAAAATCCAAAAGGCAACCAAACACCCAAAAACAAAAGCTACCATTTTCATAAAATTAATTTAATTTTCAGAAAAATCTCAAAAAAATACATCTAAAATTTCAAAATTTCAAATTATGAACAATTATAAAAATGTGTTCTGTTCTCACTTGCTTTTCAAATATTATCAATTGTTATTAAAGTGTAGTGAATAAGACAGATTTGGAATTTTGAAATTAAAAAGTATCTTTCTGGATTCTCCCTTAAGCTTTTGCTTCTATGTCATTTAATTCAATATGACTCCAAGTCATCCTTTTCTTCTGCATTATTATCTGTTCCAATGGATGGATCTGACGATGCTTTTCGGTGAGCAAGAAACGCAGACAGATGGATCAAAATAAAATACTCTGTTAAATATGCTATGAAACTTGTCTTCTTATGGCTTAAAATTATAGGCGCCACAAAAGTAGAAAACTGAAAACAAGGCCTGGATATGACAGAACAAAAATAATAAATTAACAATAATATTTACTGTTATTGATATTATAATTGATACTTGATAATTGATGATGATTGATAGATAATATCCATTTTAATGATTAATGCCAAGTTGTTTCCCAAGTGTTCTGACAAACTTAGTATTGAAACAATAGGCGTTTTCTATATCATTATAAATTTACAGGTAAACTATATCTTGCTTATCAAGTAACCAGGAATGCACTGGTTTATACTATAGAGCTGTGATTGGAGGTTATGGTCACAGTCAACAAAAAAATTAATTTCTTCTTTGAAGAGCTTAATTCGTTCGCTGTTAAAATTCAAACTAATAGATAAACACTAAATAATCCAATTCAACTCTGGTAAACAGTACATCCGCTTCCAGTTTGAATCATTCCCACTTTTGTTGATGGTGCCAAGTTCAAACTTTTATAAGTAAAAGCTGCCTAAATCATAGTTCTATATCAGTTAATCATATCATTCAACAGATTTTCTTGTCTTTTGATTGGTAGTCACTAGCAGAAATGGTTGATTCTCCAAAGCTATTCCTTCTTCTCTGCACTATTTTTTTCCTCTCAGGCGTTTCCTTCGCTGATCCACCGTATAAAAATTGTTCAACAAGTAGTAATTACACCAAAGGAAGCTCCTTTCAGAACAACCTTAACTACATCCTCGGTTCTCTATCCTCCAATGCTTCAATCTCCAAATCTTACAATGTCTCTTATGGAGAGAACCCAGTCAGAGTTTATACCCTCTTCATGTGCCTTGACTATGTTCCAAATCAAACATGCCAAGACTGCATAGCCACGGCAACACAAGACATTCTTAAACTCTGTCCCCAAGCAGAAGAAGCAGTTGTTTGGGAAGAGTACTGCCAATTACGATATTCCAGCAAGAACTTCGTCGGAAAAGTGGATGTCACAGGCAAATTGGGATTTGATAATCAACAGAACATCTCAAAACCCAAGGAGTTTGAGTCTGAGGTCAATGGGTTATTGTATAGTCTTACTGAGAAGGTATCTTTCAATGCTTCTTCTAACTTGTATGCTGTTGGAGAGGCACCCTTTGAAGGGAAAACAATACATGGCTTAGTTCAATGCACCAGAGATTTATCAGCAAGTGATTGTGGTACATGCTTGAAAAGTGCGATAAGTTATCTACCTATTTGTTGTTATTCCTCAATCGGGGCTAGAGTTCTAAGTCGTAGCTGCTACTTAAGATTTGAATTATATGCATTTTATAATGGTGAACCTGATCCAAATGGTTCATTTGCAACAAGGGGAAAAAGTAAGTGTTTCAGTTTCAAGTAACTTCGATGGATAATATTGCATCAAGTTATAATTCTCCATCTGTTTGAGCTTGATTGTTTAAATGATCCCTTATTCAGGTGCAACAAACAAAGCAGGGATGATTATAGGAATTATAGCAGCGACTGGCTTGGCAATAGCGATTTTAAGTTTCTGCGTTTACTTCCTTAGAAAGAAGAAGAAAACTCAGAAAAGTATGCAAGACTATAAGCTGATATAAGGTCAATTCATGTTTCTGAACTTTTCTTTTTGCTCTGTTTAACTGCTTGGGTTCTTTTGCTCAGGGAAGGGTGGAATAGACAGTCATGTGATGGATCCTCATAGCTTTGGGCAGAGAGGTGAAACTGTGTTCCAAAATCACCAGAATTTTCGGGGAAGAAATGACAAGATAGCTGAGGATTTGCCTTATTTTGATCTTGAAACTCTGTGTGTTGCTACCAAAAACTTTTCTGATTCAAATAAGCTTGGTCAAGGCGGCTTTGGCCCTGTTTACAAGGTGATTGAATTTTAAGCCTAAAAAGGTGAACCAACTTTTCTTGCATATTTGTCATAAACAAACTTAAGGATTGTGGTTTTTGTAGGGCGTATTAAGTGATGGCCAGGAAGTAGCAATCAAGAGGCTTTCAACGGGCTCTGAACAGGGCTCAGATGAATTCATAAACGAGGTTCTGCTCATACTGAAACTCCAGCACAAAAATCTAGTGAGGCTTCTAGGATTTTGTTTAGATGGAGAAGAAATGCTTCTTGTTTATGAGTTTCTGCCTAATGGCGGCCTTGATGCAGTCCTTTTCGGTGAGTCTTTTTCCTTCACCTTTCAGACGTATCAGATAATATATTTTTCATAATTTTATCCACTTTAGAATAGTGGATCATTTCATAATAAATTAGTTGCTGTTGACAGATCCAAGGCAACGAGCACGACTAAGTTGGATCAAACGTATTGATATAATAAGTGGAATAGCAAGAGGGATTCTTTATCTTCATGAAGATTCTCGATTAAAGATAATTCATAGAGATCTAAAAGCAAGTAATATATTATTAGACCGCGAAATGAACCCAAAAATATCAGATTTTGGAATGGCAAGAATATTTGCAGGAGCTGAAGGTGAAGCTAATACTGCTACTATAGTTGGCACATAGTGAGTACTTAGATCCTTGCACAATTTTTTTATATTTTGTCGTATTTGCTTTTGTGGCAATGAATTTGCTTGTATAATTTCAAATTTACAGTGGATACATGGCTCCCGAATATGCTATGGAGGGAATATATTCTATAAAATCTGATGTCTTCGGTTTTGGAGTGTTATTGCTTGAAATTATCACCGGGAGGCGTAACGCAGGTTTCTATCACTCTAAACATGCTCCTAGCCTTTTGGCATATGTAAGTGTTAGAAATAATAATAAAGTCACCCCGGAGAATTTATAATTTATTTTAAACTTTTGGGCAAAAGACTTATGTATTGGCATTGATTGGTTGACTTGAAAAACCATTCATTCTATAGGCATGGCATCTATGGAATGAGGGAAGCGCACTGGAGTTGATGGACCCTCTACTAGCTGATTCATACCCTGAAGATCAGTTTCTAGTATACGTGCATGTTGGATTACTGTGTGTTCAAGAAGATGCGTATGACAGACCAACCATGTCTTCGGTTGTTTTAATGTTGAAAAGCCAATCACCAACTCTTGGTCAACCCAAAAAGCCACCCTTCTGTGTGGGAAGAATCATTGATAATGATCATCACGTGCCAGAAAATGAACATTGCTCTGTCAATAACTTGACAATCTCTGATATACTGCCCCAGTGAATGGATTTGAAAACTTCCTAGTCTAATTTTTCCCCTTTTATGTTGTAATATTGTAGTTAGATGGCTTTCAGTCAAAAGCTGGACATTCAAGTTGTAACTAGATTAACATTTTCTTAACGTGTAAACTAGGCTAAATGGGTATGGTTGTTATTGTTGACCTGTGAAAATGTGTATAACTAATTTATGGACCCACGGATGCATGGCATTTATTTTTATTTTCATGTCCACCACATGGCTTCCAATCACTTTGTCCTTTTTGAAGCTTACAGAAGAACAGATAATAAATTTTTATTTGTTGTACACGAGGTACATGAACAAGCGAGAGGACATATTATCGGGGACATAAAGAAGCCAGGTTGTCACTGCGGATAATCTGTGGCTATATATATTCTCTAAACTTTTATGCAAAAATTAATCCATGTGAGCATTAGTCAGATTGTGAAAGTTGTTGAATTTTGATTCCAAATGGCTAAGCATGAGGGAAAAAAATTAGCAGAACCAAGACCAAACTTCTGTTAATTCGTTCATAATGATGAAGAAAGTTCCATGCAAGACAGAAGACTAACAAGCAGTAACTACAATAGGAGAATTAGTGCTCAAGCATCAGGGTCAAAAATGTGATTTCTGCAGTTTGAATTTAGGATGGTAACTTCTGGGACGAAATTGATTACATTTGCAGGGAAAGATCAAAGTAATTCATTCTAACGAGCAAGTTTCATAATCCAGTGACTTTTTCCTTCAGGTTCGGGCATGAAACTATGACTCCAAGCAAAACCCAGCATCAATCTCATTTAGTCAAATCTTGAATTTGAAAGTCAATTCAATCATTCAATTATTTTTAATCAATATGGGGTTATCTTGGCTTCGCCGTTAGATCTACAAGATAGCAGCTTTCTTTCTCTGACAAGAAGTCAGCCATGAATAGTTTTCTGATTACTCCAAGACACAACTAAGGTCTCTCTCATTGCTAATTGTTTAGATTCTTTGATGTTGATAACGCATTGGTATTTTTCTACGATAATTTTATTAAAGAAAGAAAAAAATTTAGATTATTTTACACAGACTTCAAGGATAACGTCAAGAGAAATATGTTCCATGTTTTAAAAAATACCAGTTTCTTAATAATCGTCATCACTGATGTTGCCGCCCTTTGATTGAGACACAATGCATGGATAGAATCAAAATCATAGACCAGTGATAAGCTTGGAATAACACCAACACTTTTTTTTTAAAAATAAAAATTAGAATAATAACGTTTACCATATTATTGCTGATCTAAGTTGCTCGTAGTTCCTGTAACTTCCTGCACAATTATTGATTATCATTATAATGTTATTAATGCCCGTTGTACTTCCTTTTATTATTCTATCCCAGACGAGAAATTTCCCAGCTTTTTCTGACCCCTGTGTATAATCACCGTATCTTGCCTAACCAAACCTGATTTATACATTTATTCTGTCTTTTTGGGTAAAAATTTGTAGATTTTCAGCTATGGTTTTCTTCATCATTCCCATCTTATTTCTTCACCTTGTCTCAGGTTCAGATCCTCTCTCCACATGGTGTCCACCTGAATTCCCAGAATACACTCTGAACTCTACATTTCATAACAACCTTGAGCTTCTTCTTGGGTCGCTTTCCTCCAACATTTCAGTCTCAGGTTTCTATAACACATCCATTGGAGAAGAGCCAGATAAGGTCTATGGACTTGCACTATGCAGAGGAGACATAAACTCCACAACCTGTAAGGATTGTGTTGAGAAAGCAAGCCAAGATATACTCAACAAATGTAGGATTCAAGATGCTATTATATGGTATGATCTCTGTCAAGTAAGATACTCCTTTCAGATGTTCATTTCAATGATGGTTTATACTGGGAAGTATCCGGATGAAAACAATCAGGCAAAGGATGTGGCAGATCCTGCTCGATTCAGCCAGGTTCTGATGCACTTAATGAACAACCTGTCCAATGAGGCCGCATTTGTTCCTTCCAAGAACATGTTTGCTTCTGGGGAAATTAAATTTTTTCCGAGAATTACAATTTATGGTCTAGTACAATGCACAAGAGACATCTCTGAAACACTATGCTATAACTGCTTGAGTTCTGCAATAGGAGACCTTGGAGCTTGCTGCTCATCCCATGAAGGTGGGATAGTTCTTAGTCGAACTTGCAACGTGAGGTTTGGATTGTCTCAGTTCTTCAATACTTCTTCTCAGTACCTTGTGGTTTACCCAAATTCTAAAGGTAAGGTTTCTGATTCTGATTAGTTTAATTTTATTTCTTCGTCAAGAAGGCATATCAATGATATCGTTAGCATATTCTTACCATTTATGGGCAGGAGGGAAATGGAAGACGTGGATGCTTGTTCTGATTATATGTGCACCACTGTTCTTATTAGCACTTCTTACTGGTTTCTGTGTTGCCTATTTTCATAAAAAACAAAGGGAAGACAGAGGTGAATCTTTTCTATAATTTTTCATCTGTTGACCATGTAAAAGTCGTGCAAGAATTACTGACCTCAGTTCTTTGATTTTTCAATTTTTATTGTCCTTGAAAACGATGAATCAGATGATCAAAAAAGCGAAAAGATGCTACTACAACAATTGGGGACCCCCAAGAGTGTAACTATTACACAAGATGGAGAATTAATTAGCTCTGAAGAACTTGAGTTTATGAATTTTGCAACAATTAAGATCGCCACCGATGACTTTTCTGATTCAAACAAGCTAGGACAAGGAGGTTTTGGTTCTGTATACAAGGTATGATAATCTCTGAATTTCACTTCAGCCTATGTATTACCAAGCAAGGCATTACGCAATTTGTGGTTTGATTTTTGGGAATTTCAGGGTGTACTTCCGGATGGAAACGAAGTGGCAGTCAAAAGGTTATCAAGGAAGTCTTGGCAAGGCACAGAAGAATTCAAAAATGAGGTCATTCTGATCGCAAAACTTCAGCATAGGAATCTGGTGAGGCTGTTGGGATGTGGCTTGGAAGGAGAAGAGAAGTTTCTCGTATATGAATACATGTCCAATCAAAGCCTTGACAGATTCATCTTTGGTTTGTTGGCTTCCCCCCCTTTGCTCATTAAGGTTTATATATATAATACATATGTCACTGGTTACAGGTTTTTGGTGTTTTTATTACTTCAGATTCAGAAAAACGTTCACAGCTTGATTGGAATACATGTTATGGCATTATCATGGGTATAGCTAGAGGATTACTTTATCTTCATGAAGAGTCAAGACTTAGAATCATTCATAGAGACTTGAAACCAAACAATGTATTGCTTGACCATGACATGGTTGCGAAGATATCAGATTTTGGTATGGCAAGAATTTTTTATGAAAATCAAAGTACCGCTAATACCAAAAGAGTTGTGGGAACATAGTAAGTTATCCATTCCTAAACTTCTATAATGGAGTAAATTTTAGTTTTAGTCTTTATAATAAGTTTTGCTTAAGCTTGGTTTGGTCACCTATCATTGAAATAATGGAGTGAATTAATTTGTGTCAAAAGGAATATTGTGGGCCAATTATATGATATATATATAATTTTCATATTGTTTTGTTCTCTATTGTTTATGATGACATGTCTAATTTTCATGTATAAAATAGTGGATACATGGCTCCAGAGTATGCAATGAGAGGATTATTCTCAGCGAAATCTGATATCTTCAGCTTCGGTGTCATCTTGCTTGAGATTATTAGCGGGAAGAGAAGCAGTGGCTTTTATGCAACTGAACTTGCCTCTACCCTTCTAGCATATGTACATATCATCAATCACTCTGATATACTACCTTTTCTTTTAAATCAACCCATAAGCTTTTAGGGAAAGTAATCAAGTTTCAATAATGCAGGCATGGAGATTATGGAATGAACGGAAAGAAATGGAATTTGTGGATCCTCATTTAATGGAAGCAAGTCTCTCTTCAGAAATTTTGAGGTGCATGCATATAGGACTGCTATGTGTACAAGAAGACCCAGAAGACAGACCCACCATATCAGATATTATGGTTCTGTTAGGAAGTGAACCAGTGTCTCTTCCAAAACCAAAACAACCTGCATTTTCTGTGGGTAAATCAGTGCAAGTTGATCCATCATTGATGACAACTTCCTCTGTGAATCATATAATGCTCTCTACTGTTCAGCCCAGATGATTTTCCATCTTGTGACAATGTAATGGTTTCTTTAAAAGCACATATGAAGAGTTATATTAGTGTTTGATATATGCTTTTTTTACCACCTTATCCTTACCCTCCCCCATTGGATGGGGAAGGTTGACCCACACGCACACCCACTTCGCTTTTACCATTTGGGAATTCAGTTCCACAACATCCTCTGTAAGGGGATGTGGATGCCATTAAGCGATAAGATTCTTGGTTGTTTAATATAATACTTAACTCTCACATTACACCTTACATAACTTAAATGTACACACATATCTCCTTTTGTGGCTGTGAATGAATCATGTAAGATGCTTTGTTGACTGTACATGTGAGCTTTGATGCAGAAGATTTCAACTTTTGGGATATCAAATTATGGGTCACGAAAAGAACTGAATATTGCAGTAAAATTTTGAACCAGAAAACTTTAGGAGTTCGAGCTTTTATTTGTCCATCTAAGACAGACCCCTTTGTATGAAACTAGAAAAGTCAATTCAAAGGATTCAGACCGTTAGATGGTACTCCCTCTGGTTCAAAATATAAACTAAACTTTATCCATTGCGTTTATCAAGAAACTAATTAAAATCAATTTAAAACAATAAATGTGGAAGATATATATTTGTTTTTCCTAATATACCCTTATTAATAAAGAGATTAAGTAAAAGATGTAATAAATGAATTAAAGAGGAAAGAGAATATATGGGGATAAAATTAGAAAAAACTCATTAAATACTTGGATAAAAGTAAATTTTATCTTATAAAAAAATAACCTTTTAAAGAAAGTTAAGTTTATATTTTGAACCACTTGTCTCCTTGCGTGTACCTCATGACGCCACTTGTTTTAAAGAAAAGTTATTGGGAACAAAAGATTGCTGGTAATTAAAAATGGGCTGAAGCTGAGAATCGTTTATTTGGCCCATATACAATTAAATGATCTGTTTCTTGGCCCCTAAAGCTGAAAACTGTTTCTTTTTGTCATGTTCATGTGTATTGGTCTCCCATATTGATGGGCTGGGTCTGCCTTCGGCTGCAGCTAAAATATGGGCAAAAACCAACCAAAACCAGATAATCGGAGAACGGGGAAATCGAAAATCATTAACCTCATCTTCGAGGACCCTGACTTATTCTCTAAAACTGAAATGATCTTGGTTAATGCCTTAGTTGAAAGTTACATATACGGGTGCATTAACAAAGCAGCAGGCTATAATATATATGGGGTTTATTCCTTTACCTTGATGACACCGTGCCTATCACTTGTTTGGCTCTTTTTCATATCTTTCTCATCTCATCATTCACATAAAAGTTGACTCTTTTTCTTATGGCCAAAACCCTGATATGGTTAACGCACTTGGATTCTTGCCCCACGTTGCCTTCACAATGCCACAATCATTCTCCCAAAGCTATGTCCAAATCAGAAGGAGGCAATGGGGTTCAATATAATGGAACGCCATTAAACGCAGTGGATCCTTTTCGAATGGAATCTTGTTCACGTACAGAAGTAACCAATCAAATGTGTGCAGGTTGGGTTATTGCGTGTTCAACGAAATCCAGAAGAGAGGCCAACAACGGCTCAGATTGTTTCATATCATTGTAATGTCTCCATTGAATTACCAGCTCCAAGAGAACCATCATTCTTCGGGCATTTTAATATAGCTACGGAAGCAGGATCTGCTTTGGATCAAAGTTCCAAGACGACCGTTTCAAATGAAATGTCCGAGAGTGAACTCTTGTCTCGATGAAATGAGGTTAATCTTTTCTATATTTATATATATTCAAGTCATGGATCAAATGGAAGTATTTTCTTTCATTTATTCCTCAGTCAATTTAAGCAAAATAGTTTTTTTTTTTTTTAAAATCACATGCAAGAATCAAAGTGAAGCACGCAATTAAATTCAACATGGTTTATTTATTATATCAGTCACTAATTGTTCGTTCAAATTCCTAGTTAATTAGACGTGCTAAAGCTAGCGTTTTACTTTTAGGGTGTTTAATTAGTCGTTAGCTATTCGTCCAAATTCCTCTATTAATTTGAGTATCAGTGCTTCTAAATCACAATGTGTTCTGTTAATTCTCAAAACACAAAAGACTTCTACTTTTGGCATATGAAATCATAGATGACTCTTGAAGAAAGTAGAGCGGCAAAACCAGACTTACTATGTCTGCTCTTAAATATAAAAACAAATTAACTAATATGTAAAAATTAAAAAAATTAATTAAGTTAGTTATCTATAAAAAAAAAAGTATGTTAAGTATCTAAAATATCCCTATGTTATTTGTACTAGAAACTACTTTTTGACGAATACCTTTTAATACATGTGAGAAGAATTTGAAAAAAATTATAAATTTGGCGGACAAAATGAATTGAAAAACTAATTACATTTAGAACAAAAGAAAATTCCTTTATCAATTCTTATATTTAGGACATGAGGGTAACTGTCATAAACCTATACATGAAGCGATAGTACTTTAGAAACCCTTGACTGATTAAACAGAAAGAACAGAGGAGATATGAGCAAGAATATGTCAACACGTTCTGTTCAAGATGAAGACTGCTTGTACAATAGAAGGAACAATATGATTAAAAACTCATGCAATCATGATTCCTAATTTACATTTCAACAATTATATGGGGCCCTCAAACATATTACTATCCTAATTGTAAATTAGACTACAAATCTAATTCCATATTATTTAATCCTAGAGTCTAGTTAAGATTTCTTTTATATCAAAATAAATCCTAATACCCAAATAATTCATACCTAATGGTGGCTAAACATTAGGTAGACATACCAAAGCAGGATTAAGTAATTAAAAATTAAGTATAATTAATTCAGTGAAAACATATTCTAATCCACTCTATCTTCATAACACACCCTTCCTCTGTTTTGCTGCCGTCCTTGAATGCCCAATTAAGTGCAGCCGTCCTACCTTCTGCGATGCTTAAACTCCAAAATTATATATTGCCAGCAGTCCTTAATATAAGAGCTACTTAATTAATTTGAGTAGATTAAAAAATAATTAAGTTAATTCTTCTTAATTAAGTGTGTTGGTTAGAACTATCATTATTATAAGAATTATCTTTAAAAAAAAGTAAATATAAGAAACAAAATGAATTGAAGTCTTATATTTAAAATCAAAATAAAAATCAAACTGATTCTTATATTAAGGACAAAATATAGTATTTCATTCAGAACTCACTCTTGCCCCACGTCTCATCCATTAATAATTAATAACACTATATATATTTATTATATTCCACTTATCAGTAACTGCTCCTTTCTTTATTTTATTTGGTTTAATCCATTCCAACTTCTCAATTAATGGATTTGTTGATAAATCTTTCTTCCATGACGGGATCCACGCTATTTTACTATTTTCTGGTTCGGTGGAATGTCGTTTCCAACTCGTGCCTATAATGCTATCACTATCAAGCCAAGGCTTCAAAGGGCCACGCTGTTTTACTCTGTCTTCTTCTTCTTATGTTTTTAGCATCTTCTTTGTATGTGTATGTTTTGTCTTCAATTTTCATCCCACCTAAACCTTGTATATTTCCTACAAAACAAAATATGATTTTTTTTACGTACAGTTACCTTCAATCTTTATTTGTCATGTTGTGAGTAACTTTTCAGCGAGACCTAACTTTTGTTGATGACAAAATATAAGATGAATATACTTTATGACAAGATTCTTTTTCTTTTTCTTTTTCCCTTTGGGTTGAACTGGGCGCCCAGAACCAAAAAAACTACATCAAACAACTAAAGGGGAAAAAAAAACAAGAAGACAAGACAATAAACGCAAGATTATTCGTTTTTTTTAATCCTATAATTGACTAAAACGAAAAATATAAATAAAAAATATTGACTTAATCAAGAATTTGACTATTCAAACTTCACACTAGTGTTGGCTAGCTGCTCCTCATAAGTTACTTGTATTGCCAACAACTTCATTTGCTAGACCATAACAATAGCCCCCAAAGATATGGTTCAACTCCATCATTCCTCCATGCCATCAAGCCTTATCGTTTCTTTGGCTTTCTTCCTTACATTTCTTTCTCAGCTTCTTATTCTCACCGCCCAGCCGCCTGACTTCCTAACACATGATTGTTACCCAGAAAGAGGTAACTACACAAATTCAAGTGCCTATGACACCAACCTCAAGACCCTCCTTTCTGGTTTCACTTCCGACGACACAAACATTGAATATGGCTTCAATCAATTCGTCTTATGGCCAAAACCCAGACGTAGTTCACGCATTTGGATTCTGCAGAGGCGATGTTAAGCCAGATTCTTGCCGTAGTTGCCTCCTCAACGCCGCAATCCTTCTCCCACAACTATGTCCAAATCAGAAGGAAGAAGTTGGATACTATGACAATTGCACGTTTCGATACTCACACCGTTCATTATTTGGAATATACAACGTCTCTGATAGAATATTCTTTGCGTGGAGTCAACAAAGTTCAACGACACTTAACGATATATATGTTCAGGTACAATTGGATAAAGTAGAGGACCAAGCACCAATTGGGGATTCTCATCGTAAGTTTGCAGCAGCAAATGATAGTACAAGCGAATCTGGGGAAGTGTATGCCTTTGCTCAGTGCAGCCCAGATCTGTCTGAGGATTATTGCAGGTCCTGCTTACAGAATGTTTCCAGTAGAATCCAAATATGCTGTGACGGAAGGAATGGTGGTAGGGTTTTCAATCCCAGCTGCTATATTAGATATGAGAGCTACCTCTTCTATGATTACACGGCTGTTTCAACACAGCCACCTCCTCCGCCATCCACCGCTGTAACGCTGCCCCAAGGTACTTTCTTGGCATATATGGATATCATTTGTTTTAAAGATTATAGTACGAAGAAGGAATTGAATATTATTAAAAGTTTTTTGCTTTTGAATGATAAATGTATTACTTCTTCCGGTCTTATTTATAAGCAACAATTATCATCTCTCTCTTATATCTAAATATAAGCAATATTTGTAAGTTATCTTAAATTTTTGTAGCAAATTCTCTATCTTGCCCTCATTAATTACTTATTTTAATACTCAGTATATTTATTATCTTATTTCTCAAACCATCATCTCTTCATCACACATTCTCTCTCTTCTATAATTCTTTTTATTATAATAATTTTCTTATTCTCTCTCTTATACTCTATCCCCCATAAATAAGGGCATTTTAGAAAAAGAACTTCTAATTTCTATATATTTATTGTCTTTAACTAATTTTAACTAATATTTTGATCTACGTGATGAGCTCCAATCTTCCTTATAAAAAGGGACTGAGGGAGTAGCATTTTAGATCATGTTGTGGCATCGTTTTATTATTTGTTGGATACAAAATTTTGAAATACTAAATTTGTATTTGCCCCTTAATTTCCATGTCATTGCCATGAACTATCTTGTGCTCTCAATAACGAAGTGACCCGTACGTTGGTTTGGTACTCTCTATAAAATCAGGAGGGAGTAATAGCACTGGATCAAAAACTGTTGTCAAGATTATTGTCCCAATTATCATTTCGGTGATACTTTCTTGTTTGGTGGGTTGCTATTTGCTGAGGAGAAAAACAAGGAAGAGAAGCCAAACTATTCTGACAGAAAACTGTAACTTATTGTTTGTTCTCTTTTAAACTTAATAATTTTTATATTTGACCATAGCATGCTTATTAATTAAAGTGACATCCACATATGTATACTGACCCAGTTGGAGAAGAAGGTTCAAATCTGAGATCCTTGCAATTTAGCTTGGCTACAGTTGAAGCTGCAACAGATAAGTTTTCCGAAGAGAACAAAATAGGGAAAGGAGGATTTGGAGAAGTTTACAAGGTAATATAACAAAACTAATTACCAATAACAAATTATATATCATATTTCTAGTTATAGTAATTCAATTTGTTTTCAGGGCACTCTTCTTGATGGACGAGAAATTGCTGTCAAGAGACTCTCAAGAAGATCAATGCAAGGAACATTAGAATTCAAAAATGAAATTTTGCTTATAGCCAAACTCCAACATAGAAATTTGGTGACGTTATTGGGATTCTGCTTGGAAGAACAAGAGAAAATTCTTGTTTATGAATTTGTGCCTAACAAAAGCATTGATTTCTTCTTATTTGGTACAACTTCTAACCTTTCATTGTTCAAGTTCTATGCATATCCTGTCATATGCATTTTCCTAGCTAGTTTGTTCCTAGTACTATTACTCTCATAATTATTTGACTTAATTTTATAGATTCTGAAAAACAAAGATTATTCAATTGGTTTGAGCGATTCAAAATTATCGGAGGAATTGCACAAGGACTTTCTTACTTACATGAACATTCTCGCCTAAAAGTCATCCATCATGACTTCAAACCAAGCAATATTTTATTAGATAACAAGATGAATCCAAAAATATCAGATTTTGGTATGGCAAGAATGATTTCTATAGATGAAGATCAAAGAAACACAAATAGAATTGTCGGGACATAGTAAGTATTGATGCCCTTCTTTTTTATTGGTTATCTCAATTAATAAATTGCATGAGAAACAAAAGGAGCTTGTGTCTATTTACTATGTGAACATTGCTTCATATATCCTATTTATCTCCATGACGAGTTTTGCTTTATGTCCTCATTTGTCCCAAATTGATCCAAGTATGTTTTTTTACATTATACTAACACTAGCATACTTTTTTTTGTGTCAAACTTTGCAGTGGTTATATGGCTCCTGAATACATAATGAATGGACAATTTTCTGAAAAGTCTGATGTATTTAGTTTTAGAGTTATAGTTTTAGAAGTGCTTAGTGGAAAGAGGAATGCTAGATCATATGAATCACACCTCTTAACATATGTAAGTATTAAATCTATGCTAATTGTTGCTCATGTATTGTAATCATATTGTCATATCCATATGTTGCAAATCAAGATGCTAAGGTCAATTTGATTGTGTAATTATTTGACAAGGTCTGGAAGAAGTGGGACGAGGGATCACCATTGCAAATATTGGACCCTTTTCTGATGGAATCATGTTCTGAAATTGAAGCAATAAAATGTGTGCAAATTGGGTTATTGTGCGTTCAACCAAATCCAGAAGAAAGGCCAACAATGTCTCAAATTGTTTCATATCTTAGTAATCTTTCCATTGACTTACCATCTCCAAGAGAACCTGCGTTCTTCGTGCGTCCCAATCCAACTATAGTTCCAGAATGGGGTTTGGATCAAACTCTTCAGAGTTATTCAACCTCCAATTCAGCTACTGGTTCAAATGAATCGTCTCAGCTCTTACCTCGATGAAAAGAAGTTCATATTTTCTATGTGTATATGTGTTTATTTATGTCGTGAGATGTATCAACTTTCATTTAGAGAAATTTGTTTCATCTTTTTCTATACATATGATGGACAAAGATATTTATAGCCCTCTTGATATGGCTTGCACAGCTTGAGTTTTCAAAGAAGTCATTATATCATTTACTATATTTAATTTTTTTTGAATATATAGTATTACTTTGCCGCCATTTTAGTCATTAAATATGAAGAAAATGATTAATTAATATTTAATTTAGAAGAATCCGAACGTGCTAGGGAACTTTGATTAAGAAAAGAGGAGGACAGATTCAGGGAAAAAAGGTTTTATAATAGACATCAAAATATAAGATTAAACAGATAGTCATAACCTTGTGTATTATCGATCAGATCATTATTAATTACGCTAACTCTTATTTACGGAGCACATAGATATATAAAATAAGTTTTTATTATAAAGGAAAATCGAAAAGAAAGAAAGAACAGAAGGTGAGGGAGGAAAACACCAGGCTGGGCTGAGGCTATTCGTCTGGAGAGCAAGCCCGAAGGCTAAACCCAATCCTGTGGGCATTGTCAAGCCTCCGTCCATATCTCTGTGATTTGATCGGGTCCGGGCTTGGTATTGGGTACATTTTTCGCTTGAAAAAGGCAAAATTTTTATGAATTCTAAGAACCCCTGCCTAAAATTTTGTCGTAGAAAAAAAAACAACATAATCACTAAAAACTTACATAACAAGTGACACAGCATGCAGTGATAAATTTCAGTGCAGAAAATAACAACCAATTCATATTACTCACTTATTATTGTGATTTTTTGGTGATCATATTCCTTCCATACAATCTTATAGTCCATTTTTGACAAAAAAAAAATCTCAGTACTTTTACCAAAAACTAATGGCAGGATCCAAGTTTGCTGATATTCAAAATGGACTTGCATATATGGTGCAGGAGAAAATAAAAAATGACTAAAGACAATTTGAAATTAAAATTGAATTTATTTATATATAAAAAGATTGGATCATTGACATGACTATAAAAACTAGTTGGAAATTGAATTTGGTCATAAATATAAAACCTTATCAATTCGTGTTGTCCCTCATACTTATCTTTTTTTTTTTTATGTGTGGCTAAACTATTTCTATTAACTACATGTATTAATAAGTTTACATTAAAAGTGGCTTCAAGACAAGTGATTTAAGAGGTATTTCAGGAAAAAAATGAAACATTTTTTACAAGTAATTAATTACCAACATAGAACCCCAAGCAACAATCTAACAAGCGCACACAATCACATAAGACAGGGAAAAATTTTTAAAATTCATTTAAATTAATTAAGTAGATCTTATATTTTTGTAACTGTTATAGACCTATACGTGTAGTCACAGAACCTGAGAAACCCTTGACTGATTGATGTTGATCATGCAGCTCGGGTTTGAGAGAAGTTATGATTTACCTTTGAAAAATAACATCACTAGGCACGTGGGAATGTATTTAAAATATGGCAAAATCATTAATTTAGAATGATCAAATTGTCAAGGGTGTGTTTGGTTTAATAGAAAGGAAGGGAAGGGATTTTAATAAAAAAGAGAAAAGAGAAAGGAATGGGAGGAATTTTAGGAAAAAGAAGGGAAATGAGAGATTTTAATGTCATCCTATTTGATTCAAAAGGAGAGGGGAGGGACAATATTTTTATATGAACAATTTTGTCCTTATTTTATTTGACTCAAATTTTGCAAAATGTTTAATAAAATATAATTATAAATTGAATAAATATAAATATAATACGCATATAGGAGAAAAAATTGACATCTTTGTTAGGTAACTTCGTTTAAATAAGATTAAACCAGTACAAAAATCTGAAACAAATAAAACAAAACACCTAAACGGAATAACATCAACACTGTTCTTAAAACTAACTAAATTAACCAGTATCAATATGAATATTTCTCATATATCCAGCCATTAGTTTGTACTATAATTTCGTCTGACTTCCCACGTCATTTGCTTTTCGATTGACGGGTGAGACTTTAGAAGAAAATGAGGCTACGTTGCTCTTATCTCATTTTTCATCACCCTATTTTCTCATTTATCCGGGACATCGTGGATATTTTTCAGAATGGATACAAATATTTATTTATACTGATTTGTAACCTTTTATTACCCAAGTTCAAAACACAAAATGCTGACAAAAACCAGATCTTAAATATTTACATCCTTATATAATTAGCGTCCACACAGACAAATAAAAACTTGACAATAAACCACTAATTTCACGAAGCCACTAATTTCTCCTTGAGGAAGACTGTGTGTTGAACACTGGCAATTGTGGATATTCTAACAATGAACCAATAATGCCGCAAAGAAGGTACTGAGATGAGGTATGCTTGCGAGATGCGCTTGCATCTTCCCGTGGCCACTAATTTCTTGAGGATTGCAGATCCTCATATTCATGGAAAGAAAGCAGGAAGCTAACAGGTGGAACGACCGAGAGGGCAGGTGGTGAGGCGGAGGCAAAACCAGGTGGCGGCGGCGCCGACTGAAGGAGGAAAAGCCATCAAGCAATGGTGAGCCTCGACCAAGCACGAATGCCGAACGCTAGGAGGAGCGGCTGAAGAGAATGAACAGAAAAAATGGTTCTGAAGATTGAAGGGTAACGGTGGAATATAAAGAAAATTGTCGTGGGCACTTTTGTCATGACAAGAGAATAATTTCTCTCCCCTTAAAAAAAACCCTGACTTTTGAGGGAAGAGAGAGGAGGGAAGGATGCACCGATGCAGACAAAGATAAAAATATTTTCCCCCGCTTCCTTTCATTTTTTTCAAACCAAACACCCTTTTGCTGCTCCTCCCCTTCCTTTCCCCATCTCCTCCTCAAAAAAGCTCCAACCAAACACTACCTAACTCTAACCAAGTACTACCTAAGTGAATCATGTCTATAACCGGAGAGAGAAGGGGATAAAGAGGGGGGGGTAGAAAAGACGAATCCTGTACATATTCCAAAAATGTCCCACATAAGACATGATCATCTGGAAGGGGAATCGAGTAAGAATATGTCAAGATGTTCTGTTCATCATATGACTTTCCTTCTCTTACGTCATTTTTGTCAAGAATATACATCTAAAGGATAACAATGGATAGATGCCAGGAACAAGTCAAAAGCGGAGACTGCGTGTACGACAGAAATAATGATAATATACGTGTCTAATTGCGCTTGTCGGCAACCACATGTGTTTCGATCAAGGAATTGTTCCCAGGAAATGCGTCACTGCTGTTTCTTCCACAGCTCGACTTGATCAAGAATTTGACTATTCAAACCTTGAAATTAATTAATAATGTTCGCTGGCTCCTCAATTAGAAGGCCATGGCTGATTATTTTACTCATATTACTGAATTATTGTATTTGCTAATCCACAACAATATGTAATAGCCCAAAGGCATGGTTTTCTAGGTACCCTATCAGTCCTAAGGCCAATGGTTTCGTAGGTCCCATTTTTTATCAATATAATCGCATTTATGTCGGTCACTGACTCGATCAAGGGACTTTAAGAAGTTGACTATTCAAACTTCAGAATCACACTAGACTGCTCATCGATCATCCATAAAGCTCAATATGCTTCGATTCTTCTATCGTTCCTTTGAACACAATGCCTTTATTTTATTTATTGGCTCTGCTGATCATCGCTTTCCATTTTCATCTTCTCCTTCTCACCCGCCCAGTCAGATGATTTCCGAGGGGTCATTTGTTACCCAAAAAGAGGTAACTATTCAAACCCCAGTGTCTACCACACCAACCTCAATACCATTCTTTCTAATTTCACTTCCGACGATACAAACATTGAATATGGCTTCATCAATTCCTCTTATGGCCAAAACCCTGACATAGTGCACGCATTTGGATTCTGCAGAGGCGATGTGAAGCCAGATTCTTGCCGTTCTTGCCTCCTCAACGCCACAATCTTTCTCCCACAACTTTGTCCAAATCGGAAGGAGGCAGTTCTATACTATGACAATTGCACGTTTCGATATTCATATCGTTCAATCTATGGAATATACAACGTGTCTGATGGACCATACTATGTGTGGAACCGGGCAAATTCAACGACACTTACGGATCAGTACGTACAGGTACTATTGGACAAAGTAAAGAACCAAGCACCAATCGGGGATCCTCGTCGTAAGTTTGCAGCAGCAAATGACAGTACAAGCGAATCTAGGAAAGTGTATGCTTTTGCTCAGTGCAGTCCAGATCTGTCTGAGGATTATTGCAGGTCCTGCTTACAGAATGTTTCCCAACGAATCCAACTATGCTGTGACGGAAAGAATGGTGGTAGGGTCATCTATCCGAGCTGTTATATTAGATATGAGAGCTACCTCTTCTATGATTACGCGGCTGTTTCAGCCCAGCAGCCATCTCTTCCGCCATCCACCACCGTGACGCCGTCCCAAGGTATCTGCCCAGTCCTATCAATTTTCTCTATCTTTTACTTATTCATTTATAATTTTTTTAAGTACTACCCCTCTGAAGTCCTAGATATAAAAGTTAGAGAAGGGTTAGTTTAGTCATCATAAATATAATAACACAAATACTGATCTGTCTGTTTGGTGTTATATATAGAATCAGGAGGAAGTGATAGCACTGGATCACAAACTGCGGTCAAGATCACTGTCCCCATCATCGTTGCAGTGATATTTTGTTGTTTGGTGGGTTGCTATTTGCTGAGGAGAAAAACAAGGAAGAGAAGCCAATCTATTCTTACAGACAGCTGTAATCTACTGTTTGTTCACTTTTAAACTTAAGAATGTTCATATTTTTCCATAGCGTGCTTATTAAATTGATATTCCCATATAATGGTGGTCTAGTTGGAGAAGAAGGTTCAAATCTGAGGTCCTTGCAATTTAGCTTGGTTACAATTGAAGCTGCAACAAATAAGTTTTCTGAAGAGAACAAAATAGGAAAAGGAGGATTTGGAGAAGTTTACAAGGTAATATTATAAAACCAGCGGCCAATTAATTAATTATATATCATATTCCTAATTACAACAAAGACTAAGATACATCCAGTACCCCGAAATATTTTCTTAGGCATCCAATACCTCGAAGTATTTTGTGATGCATCCAACTCCTCGAAATATTTTTTAGGCGCGTCCAACATCCCAAAGTATTCTTTGGACCTTGGCGCTGGATGTACCAAAAAATATTTTTAGGTGTTGGATACACCTGAAAAAAATACTTTGAGGTGCTACATGCACTGAAAAATACTTCACGGTACTAGATGCACCTAAACAAATACTTTAGAGTACTAGATGTATCACAAAATATTTTAGAACGCTGGATATATCTGATAAAATACTTCAGGGTGCTGAATGCATCTTAATCCTTATAACAATTCAATTTGTTTTCAGGGCACTCTTCCTGATGGACGAGACATTGCTGTCAAGAGACTCTCAAGAAGTTCAGTGCAAGGAACATCAGAGTTCAAGAATGAAATTTTGCTTATAGCCAAACTGCAGCATAGAAATTTAGTGACATTATTGGGATTCTGCTTGGAAGAACAAGAGAAAATCTCATTTATGAATACGTGCCTAACAAGAGCATTGATTTCTTCTTATTTGGTACAAACTTCCAACCTTATTTTCACGTATTATAGTTAAAGTTCTATTGATATCTTTCCGGATTTTTTCCCCGAGTAATTCGTTACTTACTTTCATAATTATTTGACTCAATTATAGATTCTAAAAGACAAAGATTATTCAATTGGTTTGAGCGATTCAAAATTATTGGAGGAATTGCACAAGGACTTTCTTACCTGCATGAACATTCTCGCCTTAAAGTCATCCATCGTGACCTAAACCAGGCAATATTTGTTAGATAACAAGATGAATCCAAAAATATCAGATTTTGGTATGGCAAGAATGATTTCTATAGATGAAGATCAAGGAAATACAAATAGAGTTGTTGGAACATAGTAAGTATTGATGTCCTCCTTTCCAATTGGTTATCTTCATTAATGGATTGCATGAGAAACAAAAAGAGATATTATCTATTTATGCTACAAGGAACATTGCTTCACATATCCTATTTATTTCCATAACGAGTTGTGCTTTATGTCCTTATTGTCCCAAATTGATCTAAGTATGTTTTTTTATATTATACTAACACTAGCATACATTTTTGCTTCAAACTTTACAGTGGTTACATGGCTCCTGAATATATAATGAATGACAATTTTCTGAAAAGTCTGATATATTCAGTTTTGGAGTTATAGTTTTAGAAGTGCTTAGTGGAAAAAGGAATGCTAGATCATATGAGTCACACCTCTTGACATATGTAAGTATTAAATCTATGCTAATTGTTGCTCCTATATGGTAATCATATTGTCATTTCCATATGTTGCAAATTAATTATGCTAAGGTCAATTTGATTGTGTAATTATTTGACAAGGTCTGGAAGAAGTGGGAGGAGGGATCACCATTGCAAATATTGGACCCTTTTCTGATGAAATCATGTTCTGAAATTGAAGCAATAAAATGTGTGCAAATTGGGTTATTGTGCGTTCAACAAAATCCAGAAGAAAGGCCAACAATGTCTCAAATTGTTTCATATCTTAGTAATCTTTCCATTGACTTACCATCTCCAAGAGAACCTGCGTTCTTCATGCATTCCAATCCAACTATAGTTGTAGAATTAAGTTTGGATCAAACTCTTCAGAGCTCAACTTCCAAGTCAGCTGGTTCAAATGAATCGTCTCAGCTCTTGCCTCGATGAAATGGAGTTCATCTTTTTTTTTATATGCACGTGTGTTTTTTATACGACGATGACATATGTATGCCTTTTGTTGTTTAATTATGTCCACTAAGTTATTGTTAATTCCAAAATACAAAAGTCTTTAACCTGCTAAGAGCAAACAGTAGTACTCCTCCGGTCCTTAATATAAGACCCATTTAACTAATTTGATTAGATTAAGGAAGTTAGGTAAATAGTTAATTATAAGAAAAGTGACACATTTTTCCTAAAATACCATATCATCTTTCTTAATACCTCCTCTCCCTCTTCTACTTGATTATGGTTGAGGGAGTATTATAGGGGTAATTTAGAGAAAATTGATAAATATGAGAAATGGGTCTTATATTTAGGACCAAAACTAACTCAAGATTAGTTCTATATAAGGATCGGAGGAGTAGTTTTTATATGCAGCGGTACTTAAGGTGGAGCCGGTTGATATATGGATAGAGTCTGCAAAGAAGTTATTGTGACATTTACTTTTTAAATATTCTTTTTTAAATGCCTATATATTCACAAATAAAACGAGGACACACACACACCACACAATACTACCTCCAATGTCTTAAAATAAAATATTTCCATATGTTTTGTCTCTTATACTTAGCATTTTTTTTATAAATTATCTTATTGATTGCACATGAATTTGCATCAAAAGGTAGTTTCAATAAAAATGATTTAAGAGGATATTTGAGAAAAACCAACATATATTTTTGACAAATAATTAATTTAACTAATTTTTTTAAATCTATTTAAATTTATTAAGTAGATCTTATATTAAAAATCAGAAATATTATGTATGTATTTTTAATTAATGGTAGGTGCATCGAATGCCACACTTATTAAGGGTAGGCCATGTCCCCAAATTGAATAATATATATAAATATATATATAGGATAAAGATATCTGTAGGTAACTTATCAACAAAATGCTTACAACTGTCAGTTTGTAATAGGGATGGGACTTAAATGCACGATTTCATGTACAATAATGGATGAAATCATTGCTAATTACACTAACCTTTTTTGTGCTACATACAAATATTTTTTTATTAGAAGTAATTCTTTTCGAAGTATTACTGAATACTAAATATAGGACACTTCTCTCGATGAGAATTTAAATATTAATTCATCATATTGTAAGATTAGCTTTTGTCATTAGGCTGGGTTGAGTGTATTGGTTGGGCTGGCCCGAAGGCTAAACCCAGTCCTGTGGGCTTTGTCAAGCCTCGTTCATTTTCTTTGGACCCTCCAAGATATATTTCACCGGGCTTGGGCTGGGTTTATTGGGCTATACTCTGTCTTGTGCTCACACTTTCTTTCTATTATTTTTAACTTTTTGAAGAAAAAAAAAGATACTATTGACATGAAATTATGAGATTTTAAGTAGAAAAGTAGGTACGTTAAATTTTTTTTTTTTTAAAAAAAAAGAAACAGGAAAAAGAGAGGGAACAAGAAGAAGCAATGAAAAGGCTATGATAATGTCGGTCTTCATCATTTGCTAGTCATGGCATGCGAAATTTTTAATTTATAACTTTTAAATAACCGTAGATGCTATTCAATTCCAATGTTTAGCATTTAGCAGACGCTGGGACCGAAAGATAATACTCCCTCCACTTCAAAATATAAGCATGATATCTATGAAGGGAGTTGTTTTTTTTTTTTTTTTGATAACCATCATTTTAGATTTTTGGATCATTTAATGCATTTTTTTATTTTATCCTAATTAATTATATGTCTCTTTCATCACTTTTTTTCCACTCATTCTCTCTCACCTCTGTTTTCACTCACCCTATCTCTCACTCATCCTCTCCATAAATAGGGGTGTAGAATTTAGAAAAATAGTCTATTATGTTTAACAAATTTTATCTAACTTCTTGAGTTGCATAAACTAGTTATTTGATGTTTATATTTTGAGTGGATGGAGTATATATATGTAGCACTTTAAACTCTGGAAAAATGACAGATAAAGATCTTTAAAATTACCAATCTCGAATCAGGGTTCATTACGACATTTTAATAAGTTTTGACAATACTTGACTTGCAAATAATGATGCATTTTTTTTATGAGAATTTCTAATTTGGGATTTTCAATGTCCATGGTCTTTTTTTTTTTGTCATTTTTCCTTAAACTTTGGGGTGGAATTTTCACATATAAAAATTGTTCAGTACTCAACAATCTTTTGAACAAAATTGCATTCTGATAAAAAAAAAAAATGAAGGTACTCGTTTTTTTTAAAAAAAAAAAAGACTTATGAGTTGGGTTGGACATCGTACTGAGAATACATGGCGAGAGACCACGAGGCCCAAATCAAGCGATGCAAAGGTACTTGTTCACAATTAACGCCACATTCACAAAAACATGTGGTGTGGGGGATCATTTCTGATCTAGCAGTGGTCCTGATTGATGAATGCTTTTTTTTTTGGGAAGGGACTGCTCCTTTTCAATTAGGAGGGATCAAGTATTCTTTTTGTACCTCTATCTGCTCAATTAAAAGATAGTGGTTGATCAAAGGTACAGTAATTTTCTACTACTCTATGAGAGTACTTAGCTAATTGATCCACATTAATTAAAGACGTACTCGCGTATTCTATAATTTACTAGGACTTGTCACACTCTATGAATAAGTAAAATCGCTTCGTCTACAATATCCCTAAACGGATGCATGGTTGTGATCACATCTCTTGGTCAACGAATTTATAGCTTCAATGCAGTTAAAGATGAGGTAGATTTTCCTAAAACCTTTGTGCCGGCACAAATGTAGCCCATGAATAGTCAAGTTACTAAAAACTGACCAGTTATTAAAACCGGTTGAGACAGTAGTTCAAGAATTAGTAGGTCAGACATGGATCAACTTAGAGTCAGATCGGTAATAATTAATATATTATAATTTAATTAAAATACATAAAAATATTTATATTTTAATTATGGAAACATATTATTTAGTCTTTAAATAAATATATAAATTACAAAACATTTATATGTATATGAACTTTCTTCTCCATTATTTATTTTTCTTTCTTGTTCTACCCATCACCCATGCTCTCCTCTTGCTTTTTGATTTTTTTCTTAGTTATTCTCCCTCTTTTACGTGATCACTTGCCTCTCTCCTTTCCTCACGCATCACAAGTCTCAATAGCTAGTATGGTCTTTTCATTTACACTTCGCACGCATCACCATTCAGAACGCATGTTTGGACTTTAGAGGGTAGCTTTTTTTAACACTTTGTTCTCTCTTTCTTCACTAGCGTCCATGGCTTTTCCACACAGAGCTGGTAAGTTCTTTGTAAAGCATGAATGGCAACAGTCTAATGAGTTGCAGGGAGATCTCGCCACTGAGAAGAACGACGGTGAGGAAAAGGTCACAGCAACAATGGAGTTCAACTTCAAAGCAGAATCCGGCGATGTTAGTCTGTCTTTTTTTTTTTAAAAAAAAGTTTTTGAAAGAATACATATTCATTTTGCCCATGGCACGCTCTTAACATTAGAGCCGGTGGGCTCAAACCCTCAAAAGGTCAGGGATTGAAAAAAATAGGACTATTTTAATACGGTCTTTTTCAGCTCGCCAGTCTATTTTTTTTTTTACAATTTTATGTTAATTGTAATAAGAAAAAGTTTTATTATTTACACTAAAGTTACATATAAACTTGTATTTTGTTAGAGACTTTGATTTTAAATTTATTTCTCATTTTCTTTATTGTTTTACTATTTTTATACTAATAATAATTATTAACAATAAATTATATATTTATATTTTAACTTTTGAGATTAATTTAACTATATAATTATATGAAAATATAAGAATAAGAATAATTTAATCTATAAAAATTTAAATTTAATTTAAAATTTTTTAAACATAAATGTAAAATTTTTTTTTTGAAAAAAAGATGGAGGTTGGTGAGCCAACCTGCTAACCTGCCAACCCACTCCTTGGCAGGGCGGGTTAGCAAAAATAAGCTCAGCATTCCTTTTAAGATCGGCCCGTATCCCAAACTTGCAACGAGTTGCCTCGTAACTGGCGGGCCAACCTGTTTTATCACCTCTATCTTACATCATTAACCTTTGTTCCATCGACAACAACCGCATGAATCATGATTTATATTTACACCTTTCTTTTCCTATTGACTTTTCACAGTCTCAATTTTCCTTTTTGAAGAAGTCTAAAAATAGTACTAATAGAAGGGGCTAGTTCATACCATAATATCACAAATTAAGCTTCGAATTTTTGCTTATCTCAGATACAATTATCTCTTATAAGGTATATAAAACCTACACACTAGTGAAAAGGAAAAGAAGCCAGGTTAAAAATTCAACACGCGGAAACTTTTTGTAAATTAAAACTAGAAAAGTATGGGATTTTTTTCCGTCCTTTTTACGCCACAAACTTCAAAAGCACAGGTCAGATATGCATCTTCACCATTGTTAATTATATATAGGAGAAAGTAAGAGAAACACAAAGTTGAAGCGGAACCTTTTATTTCTGGACGGGGACCGGAAAAGTCAAGATTAATGGAATCTTTGACCCATTATTGTTACCCCGTGAAGCTAATAGCTTGTTTGGGCGTTCGTAAACATATCCTTAAAACAGATAGCGCCCAGTAATTATTTTTTGCTGTCTATGTCTGCCGTAATGCCTTCAATCTTTCTGCAGCTCCACAATCAATAAGTTTAACTGGAGTATATTCAAAACTTCAAAAGCAGGTTTTTTGTTTTCTGGGAAAACTTCAAAAAGGATAAGATCGAGCGATACGTAAAAAGGATCGAGCGATATTCGTACGTACCATTGGTCATAATTGACTGCGGTCCCTCCACTCATTGTCAAAACAAGACAATAGCTGTCATTTCTTCTTTTTTGCATATGCTATCATATCATTTCTCTCTCTTTAGAAAAAAGATGAACCTCACAATGCTGTGATGAGACAAGGAAAAGACTGAGAAGAGTGGTCGGTGGGCCTCATCATGCTTTACTAGGGGTGTTCACGGGACGGGACGGAATCGGAACAGGCCCGTCCCGACCCGTTCCGGTGAACAGAGACGGAACAAGGATTTGTCCCGTGTCTCGTCCTGTCCCGGTCCTGTCAGGACCGGGACGGAACCGAGACGTCCCGCTTCCCTCTTTTTAAAAAAAAAAGAAAGATACTATAATTTTTTATATGAATTTTTTTATGTTATATATTTATTTTTTATTGGGCTTTTAAAGTTAAAAATATTACGTAGAAAGCTTAATTATATAGCATAAAAAAAGTGTAAAAATAATACTGTAAAAAAAAAATACCGTAAAAAAAAACACTATATAATGACTTTATGAATTATTATTGAGGAAGGAGATTTATTGAGATAATACTACAACTTAAGAGCTACAAATCACCATAAAAATAAAAGTTATTATAATAAGTAAATTGAATAATCTAATAATAATTATTAATAAATAATTTTTAAAAGAAATAAAACCCGGGACGGGACGGGACGGGACGGACGACCCTGTCCCGCGTCCCGTCCCTTTCCGGTTACTGTCGCGTCCCGAAATTTTTTTTGTTCTGTCCTATCCCGAACTCACCGGGATCAGAACGGAATGACCGGGACGGAACAAATTGAATACCCCTATGCTCTACTACTTTAGAGAAGTAAAAATGTGACTGTGTGAGAATCAGTCGCTTAAACTTCATAAGTAGCTCTTCAGATATATGTTAATGCCCATCAGATTCGCGGTAGGAAATCGAATCTGTTATTTGAAAGTAGTTTTGTCTCGCTTTTTTTTCTCTGTGACCCAAACAGCTTATAAGTGGTATTACCAACAAGTTACCACCCGTCCAAAAATTAGCCCAAATGCTCGTCTCTGTCATTCCTTCGTGATCATGTCTATCATTCTTTGGCTCTTGTTTCTTTCCTTTCTCATCTTCTTATTCTCACCGCCCAGCCTTTCGTATATTACAAATGCTTCGATCAAAGTGGTAACTTCACAAACACAAGTTCCTACCACACCAACCTCAATATCCTTCTCTCTAATTTCACTTCCGACACGAAAATTGACTATGGCTTCTACACTTACTCTTATGGCCAAGATCCTGACACAGTTAAAGCATTTGGTCTCTGCAGAGGAGATGTGAAGCCAGATACTTGCCGCAGTTGCATAAACAATGCCACAATCCTTCTCCCAAAGTTGTGTCCAAATCAAAAGGAAGCATTGGATACTATGACTTGTGCATTTTCGATACTCAAATCCTTCAATATCTGGGATATACCAATATCCTGACTTTTACTATGCTTTTAGTAGCAACCCAGAAAAAGGTAAATAGAGATCCAGACAAGTACAAAGATTCGCTCGATCGTCTGATGCTGAATTTGAAAAGTATAGCTGCGGCTGGTGATTCTCATCGTAGGTGGCTGTGGGAAATGCGACAGTGGATAAGTTTCGAACGGTTTACGGTCTTGCTCAGTGCATGCCTGATTTGTCTCAGCAAGATTGTGACGCCTGTTTGCTAAAGACAATCTCGGATATATCAGTATGTTGTGAGAACAAGGTTGGTGGGAGAGTGATCAAATTCAGCTGCAATATTAGATTTGATCATGTTCTGTTCTATGATCTTACAGTTATTGATTCATTACAATTGTCATTGCCCATCATTACTGCTCTCGCTCCATCTACCAATACTACTTCATCACAAGGTATCTCTAAACTTAATCTTATATTATGGCGTTTGATTACTTTGAAAAGTTTGGCTAATCAAATATGTGTGGTCAGATAAGATCAAAGTGGTCATATGAAAATTCTTTTATAAGGATCTCAAAGTTTATGGACTTTTAAAATATCTAACTTTTTTTTAAGAAAACAATTCAATATTCAGTATTATCATTAATTGAAATTTTATCTTCATTGGGTCTAATTGGGACATAATTAATTTCTAAGCTCATGTGACATCAAAGCATTGCGATGATTCACCTAATCTTCTGTAATTGATTAATATTTCATAAAAAAAAAAAATAAATCCTTAGATTGCAATGTCTTAGTTAGGCTACTTGATGTTTATGCTCTTTTAATTTGTTAGGCTACTTAGTGTTTCTCTTTTCCAAAGGTAACTTAACGAATGCACAATAAAATTGATTAAAAAAGTACAAAATCTTATAATACTATTTGTTTTCTCCATTACATTATTTTTCACCATGAGCTATCATATGCTCTTAATAACACCTTAGGTCATAAATTTACCTTTTGTGATGTAATCGTCAGGAGGAAGTGCTAGCAGATCACAAACTGATGTCATCATTATCGTCCCCATCGTAGTTTCAGTGGTAATTTTTGTTTTGGGCTACTATCTGCTAAGGAGAAAAGTTACACGGAAAAGAAAGCAGGCTATTCTTAGAGAAAACTGTAATTATATTACTTATTTACTTTTCAACTTAAGAAAATCTTTAATTATTTCTGACATGCTTACTTTGGTATTCTCATGTTCACATTGGTCCAGTTGGCGAAGAAAGTTCATCCCTGAACTCCTTGCAATTTAGTTTGGCAACGATTGAAGTTGCAACAAATAAGTTTTCTGAAGAGAACAAAATAGGAAAAGTGGATTTGGAGAAGTTTATAAGGTAAAATATCCTAAAAATAATAATGCTAAATTAACTGATGATTGGTTTTCATTTATACTAATTCAATTATATATGCTTCTCAGGGTGTTCTTCCTGATGGACGAGAAATTGCTGTAAAAAGACTTTCTAAAAGTTCTGGACAAGGAACATTAGAATTCAAGAATGAAATATTATTGATAGCCAAACTTCAACATAGAAATTTAGTGACCTTATTGGGATTTTGTTTGGAAGAGCAAGAGAAAATTCTTATCTATGAATATGTGCCAAACAAGAGCATTGATTTCTTTTTATTTGGTACGTATAAAACCTCTAACCTCATTTCTACATATTAGTTAAAGTTCTACATATGCACATGCTTATTATTATGGATTATGTTCTCCCACTAGCTAATTTGTTACCGATATTGATTTTTATAATTATTTGACTTAATTATATAGATCCTGAAAAGCAACGAGTACTCGATTGGTTTGAGCGTTTCAAAATCATAAGAGGCATTGCACAAGGACTTTGTTACATGCATCAACATTCTCGGCTCAAAGTTATTCATCGGGATCTCAAACTTTGCAATATCTTATTAGATGACAAGATGAATCCAAAAATATCAGATTTTGGTATGGCCAGAATGATTGCTATAGATGAAGACCAGGGAAGTACAAAAAGAATTGTTGGAACATAGTAAGTTCTAAATTTCTTATTTTCTCTGTGTGCCTTTCCCCAAAAAGGTTGCATAAATTATGTGTAATGCCAAGACCTTTTTCTTCTTTATTTTCTTTTTGATCCACAATATTGATCTCTTTATGTTTTGATGGTACTAATAGTGATATTTTTTTCTTCTTTTTTTATAGTGGCTATATGGCTCCTGAATATTTAATATATGGACACTTTTCAGAAAAATCTGATGTTTTTAGCTTTGGAGTCATAATTTTAGAATTACTTAGCGGCAAGAAGAATGCCAAATCTTATGAATCATTCCTTTTAGCTGATGTAAGTATTAATCTATGTCACTTATTGTTTCTATTAATTTTATTTTCATATCTAATCTAATGCAAAGAAATTCGAGCACCATCGATTTTATCATCTCATTATTTGATATATCATTTTAGGTTTGGAAGCATTGGAAGGAGGGAACACCATTACAAATATTGGACCCTTGTCTGATGGAATCTTCTTGTCAAATAGAAGCAATGAGATGCGTTCAGATTGGGCTAGTATGTGTTCAAAAGAATCCAGATGAGAGGCCAACGATGGCTGAAGTTGTTTCATATCTTAGTAATCTTTCCATTGAATTGCCATCTCCAACAGAGCCACCATTCTTAATTCATTTAAATCCAACTATGTCAACAGAATGTAGTTCCGATCAAACAACTCAGAGCTCCAAGACAGTGGTTTCAAATGAAATATCCATCACAGAGATCTTGCCTCGGTGAAACTATACTCTTCATTTCTATTATTCATGCACGTTCATGTAACTGATATATGGAATGAGAAGTCTTTTGTTCTGCTTCTGTCTTCCTTCATCAATTTTAAGCAGCTAATTAATGCTAGCTCTTGACTTTTCCTACTGTTACTTCCAAGCCTATATGTTTGTTTTGATTCTTGATTAGTGTTCTTGACCTTTGTATCAAATTTATTAATAAACCTGGTTTTTAATAAAAGAGTTTTAATAAAAGAGTTAGTTAAGGATTAGATTTAGTTTTAAAAATAAAATCTCAAATCATCTTGTCTCTCATCTTTCTCCAAAATATCTTTATTGATTGTAATAATTTTCTACCAAGGGATAATTCTAACCATTTAGTACATAAGATTGAAGAGGAAAATTTAGAGAGATCAATATACATTTATGACAAATAACTAATTTAATGAATTTTCTTAATATTCTCAAATTTGTTATCTCACTTATCTTAAGGACTAGATATGGTATTTCAGTTTGCTTTATTCTTTCTTATCCGGGTATGAGTAGAAAGATTTGGGTTGATGAGTCACATGTGGGGTTTTGATATGCTTTATTGTGTTGCGTCTTGCCAACGAGTAATATAATACTCCTTCGATTCTTAATATAGGATCTAATTGTTGAGTTAATTTTGGTTCTAAATATAAGACTTTTTTTATCATATTTATCATTTTTCCTAAACTATCCCTATGAATATTACATCAACCATAATCAAGTAAAGGAGAGAGGGAGGATATTAAAAAAAGATTATTATGGTGTTTTAGAAAAAACATTTCATGTTTCTTATAATTAGCTAACTTACCTAACTTCCTTAATCTAATCAAATTAGTTAAATAGGTCTTATATTAAAGACTAGAAGAGTAACAGAAAGAAGGAAATGTAAATACTTTTGGCTACTACTCCTTGGGTTCTTAACATAACACTTAATTGAGGAGTTGATATTGGTCATTCATATAAGACTTATTTTATATATTTATAAATTTTTTCCCAAATTAACTTATTGATATTTCCTCAACAATGATCAAGTAGGAGAGAGAGAGAATAGCTGAGAAATATATTTAGGGTATTTTAGAAAAAAATATAGCATATTAATTAATTTAATTAACATCTTTAATCTGTTTAAAGTAGTTAATTATATCTTATATTAAAGATCAAAAGAGTATTAAATAGAAAAATCAATTTTTTTTTTGTTTGCCGTGCTAAATAAATTCATAGTCACATCAACAAATCTATTCATTCCATTCCTTTCCTCGGACTCTGATCTCGAGAATTCAGCCAAACGAGTTGTAAGGTTGATTAGTTTAGGAAAGTACGCAAGAGATAAATGACGATAGTTAATTTAAATTCACCTGTATATATTTTATTGTTCTTCTATCAATGATCAGGGAGATTCACAAATGGCCTTAAAAGTAGAGTTGAGAATATGATGAGTTCACCCCCTTGAAAATAAGCCCATTTTGATATGGGCCAATTGTGGCCCAATCATCTTAGTTCACCAATGGGAGAGGTGAAGCAATTCAGGTGGTGGACTAGTTGAGGAGACCAAGAATACGTGGCTTGTTAAGTTTGGTAAAACTAATCATTTGATTAAAATTATCAAAACTGAAGAGTTGCATCGAATTAAAATTAAGGGATCAAGTGGTAATTGGCTTAAAATTATGGGAATTGAATTATATCAAATCAAAGTTGAACAAATAAGTTACAGCAGAGTAGTCAAAATGAACATGTGTTCATCACACATTTTCATTGTCCTGTTCAGAATTCTGCTTCTATTTTATATGAATATAGGTCTGACCACCTTGAACTTTTTTAATTTTCATGGCTAAAGTAGTTCCATGAATAGAATTACGTATTTATCATGTTTGTGTTTACCTTTACAAGTCCATAGCCATAAAGTTTGAAATTAACAGAGTCAATTGAAACTTTTTTTTTTCTTTTTCCCAATGTTGAAGATGCGATTTTCTTAAAGCTTCATTACTTTGGATTTTTTATTCATAAAGAAAAAGTACTTTCCAATTTTTTATTCTGAATATTTGTTTAATTTGATTTAGTAACATCTAACTCAATATTTGTTTAATTTGATTTAGTAACATCTAACTCAATTGATGGATGTTCGCCAGCCATTGAATGTTTAAATGAGTAGTGCAATTATTAATTAACAAAGAAAATGATGAACTTGTTGACCAATTGCAGGCATCATTAAATGAATTAACCAAGTTGCCATCAAAACATTTGAGATGAAATAAATATTATTTACGTTATAAAAATATTACTACTTTTATTCGAAGAATATTTTATAATTTAAATATTACTACTATTATTTACAAGTCCTTTTTCACAACTTAAAAATTAACTTTTTCAGATTTATAAATGAATGTAAATTATTTTTTGTTTAGGGAAAAATTATAAATTTGAGAGATGAAGTTGATTAACATATTATATTTAAGATCAAAACAAACCTCTCAATTATTTCCTACATGGAGGAGGTAACAATGTCACCAATGAATAATGCAATTTTGGTGTACAACTTTGGTACTTTCCCATCAGGTTAAGTTTCAAATTTATCACAAAATTTTTTACTTAGGAGTGCTGAGTACCTGAAAGTGTTTTTAGTAGGAATTTGTTTTAAAAGTTTAAAATTGTAACAATATTACTCCCCATTGTTAAAAATGTTAATAGTCAATGTTATTATTTTAATAGTTAACATTAGTTTTTCAATAGTAGGTGATAATATTGCTATGATTTTAAATTTTTGAAGCAAATTGACACACAAAAATTTCTAAGTATCCAATACTCCTAAGCAAAAAGTTCTAAAACAAATTTGTATCTTAACTCATTTCTCATATTGATGTGGTAATGCAAGGGTATCTGTAAGAATACATGAATAAACAAATTCTGTTACTCCCTTTCCTCATATTTAGCAAACCGTACCTATGAATTCTTAATATAAGATACGAGTACCTTACAAAATTTAATGAAACAGTATGTTTGCCACTTATTTCAAATGATGCATTTTTTCTCGTTTACTCTTAGCTTAAATAATGGCTTTTGCATCTTGAGTCCCAAAAAAAAAAAGAAAATAATGGCTTTTGTATCCTCTCTTTCCCTTTGAAATAAGCTATTAATTCTTAATATAAGATACCTTACAAATTTAATTTCATGAAAATGATTAAGAGTAAATTAAAAAGTACTAAAAAAAGCATATTGCAATGAATGAATCATGTCTATTTTGTATCAGAGCCTCCTTGAGTTTTAGCATGTTTTGTTAATGGTACGGACAGTCGTTCAGAAAACAGTGTGGTTCAAGATATCTAATTTTGAAGCAGAAAATATTAAGAGTTACTAGTTTTCTAGATGTTATTTAGTAACTTGATGTCTTTGAAAATAGCATTAAGGTGGGGGGGGGGGGACGAGAGAAGCATTATTTGAATTTAGCTTCCATGCAGTTCAACTAATTTACTTTAACGTTGTACGTAGTGAGCAACAAATTTAAGCTACATATGAAATACGAATTTGTGAAAGAATTATGAACTAAACCTAATAAAAAAGACATAATTATTTGTTATAAATAAAAAGAAAAACCTTTGACATGCCATTATAAAAAATTATTTAAAAATAATTCAAATGTTTAATTACTGTACATCTTATCATTCTTACTTTTTAGGACCATTCGAGATCAACTTCTTTTTATATGGTAGAGACGAAGAAAGAATATAATATGAATATATGATATTTCTTGGGACCTTCCTTTTAGTTCTTTTATATCTATTAAGGTCTGCGGGGGCCCTGAATGTCTTAAATTATTATCAAATCAAAACACGCAAACTCGCAAAAACCAAAATGTAAGCCAACTTGTTTCCAAAACAAATAAGAGGCTTATTATAATGTATAAATTAAAATGAATGACTTGAATGCAACTTTAATATGAAATGAAAAGTCTTTTGAACAAATTAAATTTGAAATCCCATCTAAGCATAACAGATGTTACTGTTGAAGTAACTAACAGATAAGTTGGAATTAATAGCTAGAGATGCTAATATATATTTAGACACATTGTGGTATTGATGATGTTGGGTTATTGCTATTATTTTTAATATAAGATCTACCATTTTTTTTTATGCGTTGGAAATTAAAGAAGATAAGATCTACTATACACTTTGTTATAAAAGAAGTAACTTTATACTTTTTTTTAATAATACTGAAATTTATTGCAACAAAAACTCAAAAAAAAAAGACAAATCAACCGAGTTTCCTCTATCAAAAGCAAGACAAGTTTTGTTGGAATTTGAGATAAATTACTGTTCGAAATTTGTGATTAGTTATTGGTTGTTGGATTTTTGTAACAATTTTTATTTTTAAAAGATTGAGTGATTTGTAAATAGTATTACTTCCGGTCTTTAATATAAGAGTTAGTTGACTAATTTGGGTAAATTAAGAAAATTTTTTAAGTTAGTTATTTGTAATAAATAGGTATTGTCTTTTCTAAAATGTTCTTACTAATCCAGTATATTGGTTAGAACTACTATTATCACAAGGACTATCTTTGAAAAAAATAAATGAATATGAAAAATAAAGTAAATTTAGATATTATATTTATGATTAAAATAAAATTAAATGAATTTTTATATTAAAAATATGAAGTAGTAATAAATTTGGGATTTGTTTTTTGGCAATTTTTATTTCCGAAGATTATAAATGTCAGATCTCCTTTCCCATGCAACTGGCCATGAAGCCGCCGGCGCAAAGAGTTGACCGAGCTGACTGGCATTCTGCAATTTGATAAGGTCACACACAGATAATCAACTACATGCATCCAAGGAGCACACACAGATATATATATATATATATATATATATATATTTATATGCATGCATGCATGCTTCCATGGCGTGGATGCGCGCACACAGCCTGTCGGGTTTTGCACATAGCCAGTTTTGAAAAGCTTTGTGCTAATTTTCCACGTCTAGTTGGGCCCCACTTTCATCTCAATCACATCCTCTTTTGTCTAATATCAACCATGCAGCGCCATCATTGAAAAAGAAACGGTTCCAATGTTCCGTCTACAACAAGGCCAAAAACCAAAAAAGTGTTCCATTTGCAAGGAACAAAATTGAAAATTAAAAATTTTAATAAATAGAAAATTTTTCATTTAAAGACCACAGTACAAAATTAATTTTAAAGAATCTCTGAAACTTTCTGAAGCAAGACCAAGAGAGTAAATTGATACTAATTTCACAAAATAATGACGTTATTGCCCCTTATAATAAAAGTGGGAGATCCTATTTACAAGTGAGACTAGAGAATTTGCAACATACATATATATATTTAAAATTGAAATTAGTCCTTTTACAACCTGAAGAAGGTGTCCGTGAGTGAACAAGTGTGGGAGAGTCAATTTGCAAGTTGAACTAGATAATTTGTAACATACGTATATTTATTTACAATTGAAATTAGTCTATTTACATGTCACCTCCTTCACCTGAAGAAGATGTCCATGAGTGAACAAGTGTGGAAGAACCTATTTGCAAGTGGGACTAAACAATTTGTAACATATATACCTTTATTTACAAATGAAATTAGTCCATTTACATGTTATCCTGTAATAAGTATTATGAAGGGCAATAGTGTCATTTTTTTGTGGAATTAATATCAATTTGCCCCTTTCGTCATACAGTGAAGTTTCAGAAAGTTTTGAGAGCTTTTTGAAATTAATTCTATACTGCGATTCTTAAACAAAATTTTTCCTTTTAAATATTGCAGGTCGAAAATTGATTTTCTGACATTTATTTATATCTATTATGAAAAAAATGGTTACTTTTATTTACGGCATCCTATGCAATTGTTTTTTTGGTTTTTGTTTTACGATATAACACAGTTTAAAAACTAAGACCTCGCATACTTGTTTGAAATTTGAATACGGGAAATTCATACATCACAAACAAAAAGAACGTTACTTATTGATAAGTACAAATTCGACTAATATCATGTTAGTTGACTAAAATTCTAATTTGAGTCCACGAAGGTTTTAGCTAGGTCTAATTTTGCACAGAAAGTAGTGAATGATAAATTTCATAATAGCACACACATATATTTAGTAGTTACTGCCTCGAGACCTGTTTATATAAATATTTGTTCGAGTCTACTTAAATTTAACTGAGTGCCAGTGGATATCGGATAGAAATATAAAAAAGTATGAAGTAGCATTCTATTATATGTGAGGTGTGCAGTATTTTTAATTTTAGATGAGGCACCACTTCTTCTTCTTAACTTCTTAAATACCTGAATTAAAATGTTACAAATTTTAACTTCTTTTATGTGATTAGTATACCTGAAAATTTTTATTTGAACGTTCATGTATTTACTCAAATTAAATATTTAATTAGTCATTCACACTGCATAGAATAAATAAATAAATAATTGATCCCTACTGTATCATCACCTAAAAATTCTATATCTGTACTACCGCTCACTATAGCTTTAACTAAAAATTATTCTTTCTTCAGCAAAATGATTGCTTTCGTCGTCTTCTTCTTCTTCATCTTCATCTTCAGCACCACGCAATCAGCCGCCTCTGTATTCAACGATTTCAACTGCACAACCAATATCACCTTCACTCCTAACGGCACCTTCCAAAGCAACCTCGCCACCCTCCTCTCCTCTCTCTCCTCCAACGCCACCGGCGGCATCAGATTCTACAACACCACCGTCGGCGGCCGCGGCGGAGCAAACACCGTATACGGCCTCTTCGTGTGCCGCGGCGATGTGCCGTATCCATTGTGCAGCGAGTGCGTTAACTTCGCCACCCAGAGGATAAGCTCATCGTGTCCTTCAGCGAAAGAAGCCATTATTTGGTACAACGAGTGCTTGCTGCGATATTCTTCCAGGTCTATCTTCTCTTCCATGGAAGAATGGCCAAGATATCAAGTCAAGATTCCGTTAGGCGACCCTGGGCTTTTACGAACTCGGCGTTTCTACGATACTTTGGGATCTATTTTGAACGATCTGATAGATGGAGCAGCTCAGGCTCTTGGGAAATCTGATTCAAAGTTCGGTGTTCAGCAAGGTGACGCATCTGGAAACACAACGCTGTACGGCCTGGCTCAGTGCACGCCGGACTTAGCCACCGGCGACTGCAAGCGGTGTGTCAGGGATGCCATAGCGGAGATTACGACGTCGTGTTGCAGTGGCAGCATCGGACAAAGTGTGATGTTCCCCAGTTGCATTATTCGCTATGAAACATATCCATTTTATCAGCATGCCGGAACGTCGACACTCACGCCGGTGGCGGCGGCTAACGGTCAGTGGCTAAACCTTTTTTTTTTTTTGGCAATATTCAGTGCATATGTCTGCCTCATAAAAAAAATTTTAAAAAATATTGTGTCAATACATATAAATTCAGTTGGATTTTGGACCAACATTAATGGAAAAAGTTTAGACCGGTGTATTTGGTTTGGTAATAGAATTGCTTGAGATAAGTTAAGTTTTCTTTCTTTCTTTCTTTTTTCCCAAAAAAAAGATATTTCAAAGATATTTGAAGTTTTGAATGCATTCATCATAATAACGAAAATATAATTATAATTATTAATATTATGCTGTTTGCGTAAAATTACTCTTACTATTAGAGATAAAATATCAATACCATCCGTACTCCTTTTATGATTTATTTGATCAATAGTTGTACTCGTTTATTTTAGATTAACGATCATGCCTAGAAAAATAATAATTGATAAGCTAGAAACTGCGGTAGGCGGGGGACATGATACTAGCACATTAATCATGAAAGAAAATTGAAGATTATTTTATCCACACTTCCATTTGGGCCTACTCCATTATCATATATACACACACACACACACACACATAACTTACATACTAATCGATTCAAACTTCTTTTGTGGGATTTTTTTAATTTAAATGTTTGATAACGAAAATAAAAAATATATATATGCTTAATAATATTTTTTTGTATTTATATACTAATCGATGGATGCTGAAAGCAACTTTCCATAACAAAACTTACATAAATTTTTTTTATTAAAATATGACACGTGAAACAAGTTTTGGAAGTGTTAACCATGGAATATTATGAAACTTATATACTCAATATAAATTTATTCAAGGAAAATTCCCATTGAAAAAAAGTTTAAAATTACTAAATTTCAAATGAGGGTTAACAATAACACTTTAATAGGTTTTGACAATACTTAATATACAAATAACAACACATTTTTATAAAAAAATTTTATAAAAAATTTAGTAATTTCAAACTTCTTTTTGTGGGATTTTTTTATTTAAATGTTTGATAATGAAAATAAAAAATATATATGCCTAATAATATTTTTAAATCTTGCCATTACCCAAAAATTACTGTCACTTTCAATTCGTAAGTTCTGGTCGGTAGGAAAAAATGACATGCATTCTCAATGGCATGTGGCTGTTAATCTCATCCAATGTGTGATATATACGTGGAAGCTGATTCGTGCAGGAAAAAGCAATAAATTGCGGACACAAATTATTGCAATTATTGTCCCCTCCATTATTGTTCTAGTGGCGATTCTCGTTTTTTGCTTCTACATGGCGCCTAGAAGAAATTCAAATTCAAAGAAGAAATCACAAAAAGCCACTGATCTCTCAGAAAATTGTAAGCAATATATAATACTTTTTATTAATATAGAAAATTACGTCCTTTAGATTTTGCATATAGTCCAACTGGATTCTTACATATGTTTCCGCGTTAACGTTATTTTATAGTTGGGGTTGAAATTATTACCACAATGGATTCGTTGCAAATTGACATAGCTACAATTAAAGTGGCTACGGACAATTTTTCTGAAAAAAGCAGGATTGGCAAAGGTGGATTTGGAGAAGTTTATAAGGTGATAATTGCGATAAATTAAAGATAATAAATTAATGGTTTTTTTTTTTTTCCTTTTGTAAATTTCATGAGTTGATTTTAACTGATGGCTTGAAGTTTTTTAGGGGGTTCTTCCTAATGGACAAGAGATAGCTGTGAAGCGATTGTCAAGAACTTCATCGCAGGGAGTTGAAGAATTCAAAAATGAGGTTTTGCTGATAGCTAAACTTCAACACAGAAATTTAGTAAGGTTACTGGGATTCTGCCTTGAAGATGATGAGAAGATACTTATCTATGAATATGTGCCTAACAAAAGCCTTAACCATTTCCTATTTGGTATGTCATACAGTCTATGAAAGTTTTCAATATATCAGAATGCAATTAGTTAATTTCTTTTTTCGCTGTTTGGTTTATGTTCAGATCCTTTGAAGCAAAGGGAATTAACTTGGCCTGAACGTTTTAAGATTATAAAAGGAATTGCTCGAGGAATCCTATATTTACATGAAGACTCTCGTCTTAAGGTCATACATCGTGATCTTAAACCAAGTAATGTTTTGTTAGATAGTAACTTGAGTCCAAAAATCTCAGATTTTGGTATGGCAAGACTAATAACACTAGACCAAGTTGAAGGAAGCACAAACAGGATTGTTGGAACATAGTAAGTGCAAAATTCTCTTTTCCTCCTTCCATGCTTTTATATCAATAATTGTTCAAGTACTAACAAGTTATATATTTTCAGTGGCTATATATCTCCAGAATATGCAATGCACGGATATTTTTCTATAAAATCCGATGTCTTTAGTTTTGGAGTGATGATGCTCGAGATTATCAGTGGAAGAAAGAATTCATATTCTTATGAATCATGTCGCATTGATGATCTCTTGAGCAATGTGAGTGTTCTTTTTCTCTGCCTTCGTTGTATCTTCATGTACATGGATAAAAAGAAGGCTAATTAATTAAGCTAATAACATGATTAATTAACTACATTGTTTAACATTTATACTGATTAATATATAAATTGTTGCAGGCTTGGAGAAAATGGAGGGATGAATCAATAGAGGAATTGATGGATCCAGCAGTGAGAGAATCATATTCTCAACAAGAAGTGTTTAGGTGCATCCAGATTGGTTTATTGTGCGTTCAAGAAAATCCAGATGATAGGCCTACAATGGGAAACGTTGCTTCATATCTTAGCAACATTACAGTTGAATTGCCATATCCTCTGGAACCTGCGTTTTTCATGCAAGGTAGAAGAAGAAGAAACCATATGCATGATCCCAATTCTGATCACTCCACCAATTACTCTGTCTCCTCAACCATTAATGAGATGTCCATCAGCAAATTTTTCCCTCGCTAATGATTATTAATTACGTATATGTGAAAAAAATTGTAACTATACAATATTCAAATTCTAGATTGTTTTGTTGCTCTATAGTTTTTATTTTTATTTGAAAGGATAAGCACTAACAATTTGAAGTTATAAACGGGATCAAACCCATAACTTCTTACATATAGAATAGATTTTATGCCACTAAGTTACAACGACATTGGCAGGTTGCTCTGTAGTATTATATTGATGGTATGTTGGAGGCACAACCCAAATCTCTTGGGTCTGTACGTAGTGCATAAATTGTAATTTGATGTGTTTAACATTGGTTCATTTATTTTTGACACAATGCAATTAGAGCTGGGAATCAGGGCTGGCCCTTCAGGGCTGGCAGACTTAAAAGGGCCGGCCCTCCAGGGCTGAAATTTTAAAAATACCCCAATTTGCTAGGCCCGGCCCTTAAGCTACAGGGCCAGGGCCAGCCCAAGGGCTTTTAGCCCGTTTAAGAAAAAATACTATTTTTTATATTTATCATATTTTTTTTTATAAAAATATAAAAATAAACCAATGAAATTATTAATAAAAGACATAAATATGAATAAAATTAAGTCACAAATATAAAATATCATCATATATAAATATTCATCAACATCTAAGAACATCTAAAACATTCATTAACAAGATAACAACATCTAAAAGTTTTATCTATAATGCAATTGTGCAATAAATAAACACTATCATTAATCTTTTGAAACTTCATCATCACTATAATTAATTACTTTTCTTCATAAGTATGTTTTTCTTTCGTAACAAAAATATCAAGTTTTTCTTCTTTATAAGAATTTTATTTTTAAATTTTGTAATCTAACTATTATTTTACTTTAATGTGAGAAACATTGTTGTTGAAACTCATGAATTTCTAATTCAAATTATAGAATCACAAGTTATATAAGTATAAAAATATTCTATTATCAAATATATATATAGTTTAAAAATATCAACGCATATAATATAAATCAAATCATTATTAAAGTCCAAATTAACCCATTTTTTAAAAATTTAATTGGATAAATTATTGTCTAAAACTAAATTTAATTTTAAAATGATAATAATAATTAAATATTTGAAATATTATTAACAATGTAAAAAATTAATAACATTAATATTATATAAAAAAATTTTAAAAATAAAAAAATTATAAAAGGGCTTAAAAGGGCCAGCCTGCGGCCCTCCAGGGCCCGCCCTTTTAAGCCCTCGGCCCTCCAGGGCTTATTTATCATTTTAAGAGAAAAATATCAAGCCCGGCCCTAATAATTTCAGGGCCTAAACGGGCCGGCCTGACGGGCTCGGTCCGTTTTCCCGACTCTAAATGCAATCGATTTGATTACTTTGCAATATATAATCGTATCCGAGATTGCATGCATGCAAATTATGCAGACAATGCAAAATGATAAGACGAGATTAGCGTAAGCTTTTGAAAATGGAAAACTACATAGAAATAAAGAAATTAGAGGAAATAAAACTCTCCCTAAACATCAATTTAAAACAGTTCTAACAAAAAAACATATTGCATCGCCCAGCAAGCTAGAAAATCAAGTTGAAGGAATATTAAAACCCTTGAAACAAGCTTCAAGAACTCTATAATTTATGATAATACCACAAATATTGATAACTTTAATAAGTTTGATAATCGTTCTTGGCAAAATAATGAAGAACTAACCCTCTCTGAAAATACACAATTCATCATCAGTGTCGTTTAAAATTTCTCAAAACATGGTTCATGAACAAAACTAACTAAGCCCAGATAGCTGATGGGTCGAATCTGGAAAAGCTTAAACTAAAATGTATTCCTAGCTTTGGGCCCATGGATTCCTAGTTAAAGTAGAATTAGTAATCACTTTTTTCTTGTACCATAAAAAAAATCATAGTGATCACTTTTTTCTCATAATGAAAACTAATAGCCACGTTCGCTGAATAGTTATTTAGAATTTAGCACTCAGGGGGTGTTTGGATAGAAACCAAACCATGATTTCAGAAGTGCTTTTACGGTTTACGAAGTAAATATGTGAAGGAGTTTGTCTCATTTTGCGGAAAAGTGTTTCTGAAATCATGGTTTTCATATTACCAAACACCCCCTCAGTATCCTTGCTTCAATGAGTTTTAGCTTTAAAAGTGATATTTTAGCAAATGTATCTCTACTTAAATGTACATTTTAATTTATTTTGATAATTATTTTTAAGATTTGGCTTGAATAGAATTAAATGATGTCGTACGACTTATGTAGCTCATCTCACGTGGTGGGCTTTGTTGTTGTTGTATTATTTGTGGTGGGAATCTTGGACTTCGTCCAGCTTGAATTGATGTTTTCTATCCCAAACTATACGATTCTACCATTGACTTCAAAATAGAACACTTTCTTTTGTTCTTTACTGTATGCTTATAGTTGACTGAATTGGTAGAGGATGGCCCAGGTAAGGTGGGAGATATAAACAGGGTTGTTTGTCAAGATTGGAATCAATGCTGACCGAAACGCAAATTCCACGAATCTACCGTTCATCTTTCTCTATCAATCACATACCTTCAATAGAGAATAGTCATGACATTTCTTAGCCTTAAAAATGTCCTAAAATTAGTTGAGTTCATCATTGTTCGATAGCATTTGAATCATTATTTGCATCTCATTTCTTAACTTAAATTACAGAGGTGATCATCGTCGGATCAGTTGGCAGTGGAGGATGGGTAGCATCAAATGCCTTGTGCTCGTTTTCATGTTTCCAGCGCTAATGCTTAGCTTTGGCGCCGAACAGGTTACAGCTTTCCAGTTCATTGAATCAGACTGTTACCCTCTTACTGATAACAAACCTAACCATACGTATGAAGCTAATGTGAAAGCCCTCCTCTCCGACCTCAGCTCCAATTCCACCCAAGACAATGGCTTCTACAATTCACTTGCTGGTTGGGGAACCACAAATCCTATAAGGGGACAAGCTCTTTGCCGTGGGGACGTCACTCCCTCCACATGTCAACACTGTGTCTCACTCGCAGCCCAAAAAACTTTAACCTCTAGCCTTAACTGTACTGAATTCATAATCTACTACGACCTTTGCATGTTGCGTTACAACAGCAAATCCTTCAAGTTCGATGACATAGTCGATGATGGCCTCGCTTGGTCTGGTAACAAGACGGAAATCTCTGACGAGAGCCGTTTCAATCAAACAGTATGGGTTCTTTTAAGGATTGTGACCGCAAAAGCTGCGAATTCAAACTTTCCTGATAAGAAATTTGCCACCTACGAAGTTCCAGTCACGGCCACGCAGAAGCTGTACGGCTTAGCACAGTGCACGCCTGATTTGACAGTTTCAGATTGTGGCCAGTGTTTTCAAACGGCCTTACGACAGTTTCAGGAGTTTTGCGTCGTTCAAGATGAAAGTAAGGGTGTGGAATTTTGTGCGGAGATCCCACGGGTAATGGTTTTTCTGGCCGGATGTAACGTTAGATATGATACGCACCGCTTTTATAATGTAAGCAACGTATCAAATGTACCAGCAGCCGTTCGTCTTGCAACTTCAGGTAACAAGCAATCCATTTTTGTTATCCTCGGAGTTAATCACATGTAAATGATTATCGACGATCTTATGTACTCAGGAAAACGACATGCTGGATCACGAATTATTGTTGTGATCGTTGCCTCCACTATCATTTCACCCACGCTTTTTTGTTTGAGCTGCTATTTGCTCAGGAGAAAGCTGAGAAAGAGCCGGCAAACTATTCTCACACAAAACTGTAATCTATACTTGTTTCCCTGCATATTTAAAATAATGTTCTAATTTTGGCATGCTTAATGATGTTTTGACTACTCATGTATTGATCTAGTTGGCGAAGAAAGTTCGAAGCTGAAGTCCTTGCGATTTAATCTCACTACAATTGAAGCTGCAACGAATAAGTTTTCTCTCCAGAATAGAATTGGCAAAGGTGGATTTGGATATGTATACAAGGTACAATAATTTTCTCGTGTTTTGTCCTTTTGGATGAAGGGATTCCATCCTTTTTTTTTTTTTGGTGATAAAAGGGATTCCATCTTTATTGAAGTGATTTATATATCTCCTAATTAATTATTGGCCTTCTGCTCAGGGAGTTCTTCATGATGGCCAAGAAATTGCTGTGAAAAGACTCTCAAAAAATTCTCTGCAAGGAGCATTAGAATTTAAGAATGAAGTTTTGCTGATAGCCAAACTCCAACACAGAAATCTAGTCACCTTGTTGGGGTTTTGCTTGGAAAAACAAGAGAAAATTCTTATTTACGAATATGTTCCTAATAAGAGTATTGATTTCTTTTTATTTGGTATATTTTAATGTTACTTTCACATTTTTTTCTTCTTTAAAATTTAAACGTTATGCAATTTTCATATTATTAAACTTCTTATTTTCATTAATTTTCTCCATTTTGACTTGACTTCATTTAGATTCTAAAAATCAAAGGCAATTAAATTGGCTGGAACGATTCAACATTATTGGTGGAATTGCTCGTGGACTTCTTTACCTACATGAACATTCTCGTTTCAAAGTTATTCACCGTGATCTTAAACCAAGTAATGTTTTATTAGATAGTAAGATGAATCCAAAGATATCAGATTTTGGTATGGCAAGAATGGTTGCAATAGATCAAGATCAAGAGAATACAAATAGAATTGTTGGAACATAGTAAGTCTTACAACTCTTGTTTGTTGCACACTCATTACCTGCATCTTTTAAACTTGTACATGCTTGAATTTGAAACAAAACGTCATTGTGTATACTGTGAGAACATTCATTCATCCTAAAAAATAACTTGAGGATTGATCTTTACCTATTGTTTCATATGTTTATCCATAATATTCATAATTTTTTCTTGTATATCTATTATATTAAACTAATTTTTTTTCTTTAGTGGTTATATGTCTCCAGAATATTTAATGTACGGACAATTTTCAGAGAAATCAGATATATTTAGTTTTGGAGTTATAATCTTAGAGATAATTAGCAGCAGAAGGAATGCTAGATCTTATGAATCACATCTCTTGACTCATGTGAGTATGAAGTCCAATTTAATTCTTGTCTCTACCTGATCATTTTTTCATATGTATCTAATACACGAACATTAATGCAGGCTTGGAAGCAATGGAAGGAGGGAACACCATTACACGTATTGGACTCATGTCTAATGGAATCTTGTTCTCAAAGTGAAGTAGTAAGATGCGTGCAAATTGGGTTATTATGTGTTCAAGAAAATCCAGAAGATAGGCCAACAATGTCTCAAACTGTTTCATATCTTAGTAATCCTTCCGTTGAATTGCCCTCTCCAAGAGAACCAGCATTCTTCATGCACAGCCGACAAAATTCAAGTGAAAATATTGCAACAGAATCACTTTTGAATCGATCTTCTGTGAATCCTAATCGGTTCTCTTTGAATGAAATGTCTCAGACTGAACTCTTCGCACGATGAAAAGAGGTTCGTCTTTGCTAAAGTCAAGGATCAGTGAAAAGCACTGCTTTTTAGTTGATTAGGAGCGTATCTCCTTATAATTTCTTGCTTCTTATCATAACAGAACTAAAATTTCTCCTTAATCAGTTAATGTGTAAATTTATCTCAGCTTGCCTGAAAGTGCTTCTCTAGAATACCTTTTCTTTTCTTTTTTTGGGTAAAGGTGCACCTAACACTCTAAATTATTTTTGAAAATGCACCCAGCATCCTAAATTATTAAGCAGTGCAATTTTGCTCCCAATCTATTAAAATAGGCGTAATTTCACCCAAAGCTAACGGCCTCTAAAACATCCATTTTTCCCATCTTGCTCCCCCTCTGATCCGTCCGCCTCTCCCCTTCTCCGTCCTTTCCCTTTCTTTCTTTCTGTATTTAAGAACAAAGCAAGCAAGAACAATCAACCCAAGACAAGAAAAAGAAGAAATCATAGGGAACAAGTAAGAAACTGCCAAAAAAAAAAAAGGAAGTATAACTTGTGTTCAGTCAAAAAGGAAATCCGGAAGAAGTTTGGTTCAACAAGGACCTTAACGCTGCTGCATCCATTTGCTACAAGTTCTTTCCCAACGATCTCATGCTAATATCAATTACAACTGTCCGATGGAAACTCTCAAGAGAGAAGGCATAGAATAGACCTCCTCATTCTCTCGCTGTGAAATTTTTTCCAACATCAATGTCAGAAAAAAGGGGAAAAAAACACTTCACCTCATTTATATTAGAAGGACTTCTAGGAAAAGAAAAATTAATGCTAGAAGGACATAATTTGTGTAATGAGGAATATTTAGATTGGATAAAGCTCTGCACATTCGTAATAGTAATAACCATGATGTTGGAAGATTTTGCACAATAATTAATCTCAGTGGATGTAATTGTTAGCGCACCAACCAAACATAGCACAGGAAAATTACTCCAATGCAAATCAACTATACACTATTACAAAAAAAAATAACGGCGGTTAAAATGAGCTTTTTACGACGGTTTTGAGAGCGACGTCTATGCCATCGACGTAAAATGTAGAAGATTTCATGACGGTTTAAGAACGGCTGTAGTGTGTGACTTTTCACGGCGGTTATATAAATAACCGCGGTGAAATTTTTTTTTTTAAGTCTACATCTACCCCTATTGATCAGGATGAAAGGAGAGAACAAAGCCTCAAACGAAGGGGTTTGATGAAAATCAATTAACTAATAATCTCTCACCAGTTAAAAGCATTCTGATAGAGCAAACGTAGATTCTTTCCTGCTATAATAGCACCACTTAGCTTCACCTTCAACCACCAGATCGAAACCACTAAGACTTAATAAAGATAAAATCAAAGACTTAGATCTGATAAAATCAAAGACTCAGATCTGATAAAAATCAGATCTCTTTAAACTCAGATTAAACATCATATTTTTAATTAAAGAAAATAATCATATCAAACCACAAAAATTATGAAATCTACGAAAAGCATGGAGGTGAAAAACTTACAAATAAGAATGAAGAGGATGAGGCGATGGTGATAGCAACAGCGACAGCGACGGTGATAGAAAAACATGGTGGAGATGATAGAAGCAAAAGATAAACACCGACAAAGGTAGGAGAAGGGAGAAAATCGAGTGAGGGCGGTAATGAGGGACTATGAGCTATGACATTGAAAAGTGAAAAGTATCACGTTATGGATTTTAAAATTCTGATAGACTTTTTACGGTGTTTATTTAAAAAATCGCCGTTAAAATTTTACGGTGGTTATTTAAAAAAACCGTCATTAAAAGTACTTTTAATGGCGGTTTTCTTAAAAACAGCCATGAAAAATACTTTTAACGGCGGATTTTTAAATAACCGCTTTTAAAAGTATGCCTATAATTATAAAAATGCTACCGTCTTATTTTTTATAGTGTTTTTTCTAATAACTATTGTAAATTAGCACTGTGAAAGCTTTTTTTTTTGTAATAGTGATAAATTCCAAGAAATCATATATGAATGCAGAAGGAAAGAAAGGGAAAGGAAAGAGGAGGGGAGAGGCAGACGGAGCAAACGGGGAGCGATATGGGGAAAACGAACGTTTTAGAGTCCATTAGCTTTGGGTGAAATTGCACCTATTTTAATGGATTGGGAACAAAATTGCACCACTTTATACTGTAGGGTACTAAATACACCTTTAAAAATAGTTTAAGATGTTGAGAGCATCTTTGCCCCTTTTTTTTTAATGAATATGGAATACATTTTCTAATTATATGTATCATAACTATCATTTGATAAAAATTCTCATTATATGTAATCAATAAAAATATTTAAAAAATTATAAATTTAAGGGACAAAATAAATTTAAATCCTTTATTTAGAATCAAATTAATTTTTTTAACTTTTTTACCAGCATTTTTTAACTTTTATATTTAGGATTAAATGTAGTATTAATTAGAATCTCATATTTATATTGAACTGTGAACTGATCGAGCACTTGATGTAATTATTTTGATGTAGTATTAATTAGAATCTCATATTGATGATGAAACGATTGATGACTCCTGATTGTTTGACGGCCTGTACTCAAATCTTTGATCAGCGAACTTTGGTGCCACATGCTGGCTCGCATTTTTGTGCTGTGCTGTTTGAACTTAAGACATTTTCTAAAAATAATACTCATCGGCTTTTAAATATAAAACCTATTTTATAATATAATTTACGTTATAAAACGGGTTTTATATTTAAAACTAATTATATTACAAAATAAGTTTTATATTTAGGATCAAAGGGAGTATCATATTATTATGAATTTATGTTTCTATGTTGTCCTGGTATCCCAACGTTATTCACCATTGTATATATAGTATTTATCACCTTCTCTGTTTAAATGGGGCTATATTTGGCTATCCCTTGGTCATATATTTTTATTTATTTTCTTGTTTTGAAAAATAGTAAATTTGGCCCTCAACAGATTTAACCTTCGAAAGCCTTGATCAATAGCTCTAGTGACTAATGTGACTGTAATTTTTATATTATCGCTCAATTTGATTAAGCTATTATCTTAGTAAGAAAATAATCTCTTGCCTTTTTGTTTTGGTAGATTCTTCCTTTTCTTAATGGAGACTTTCTATATGTTCGCAAAAGGAAAGAGGATTAAATTGGTTGAAACAATTCAAGATTTCAAAAAAAAAAAAAAAATTGCTCCAATATCTACATGCATGAACATTCTCGATTTAAAGTTATATTCATCTTGACTTGAAATTTAGTAATATTTTATTAGACAACAACATCAATGAAAAAAAAAAAAATCAGATTTTGGTCTAAGAAAAAAATTACCACGGATCAAAGTCAAGAAAGTATGGACAAAGTCATGGGAACACAGTAAGCGTTTATTCCACGTTTCCTCTCCTTACATGTCTCCCCCACTTGGTTCTTATATATCTTCAGAGTCCACGGCTATGCTAATATTCGCTTCATCCTACTTATATAATTGGAAGAGTTTAATTTATTTTTTTAGTTTTTGTAAAATAATTTTTTTATATTTGTTTGGAGATATTATACTAATTTGATTATATTATAATGTTTATATAGTGGTTATATGTGTCCAGAATACATAAAACACAAGAAATTTTAGGAAAAATCATACATGTATAGTTTTGATGTTATGATCCTAGAAGTAATTGGAAAGAAGACTGCTACCTCCGATTAACCATCCGTCTTTATTTCATGTAAGTTTCAAATTAAACGTATATACTACCCACGACCCTTAACATAAGCCTCAGTTTAGAGAGATTAATGAAATTGGTAAAGTTAGTTATTTATAGTAAATAGATGTTGTCATTCTTAAAATATCCTTATCAATCATATGTGTTTGAATTACAAATTAATAGTAACTCCTTAAAATATTTAACTATTATAGGGATTACTTGAGAAAAAAATAGATATATATTAGAGACAAAGTTGATTGGGATCTTATATTTATGACCAAATAAAAACCTCTTATATTAAGGACAAGAGGTAATATATATTTTGAAATTGTGTGAACATATATGTATGATGCTACCAAATATTAAGATGCACTGCAAGTGTACAGGTCACAAAAATAGATAGTGGCAATTCAAGATCGAGTCTACGAAGAATTTAGTCAACAATGATTAGACAATAAAAATCCTCTTTTTGTTTAAGTTGAGTAAATCAAAATTTTATGAGATTGAGTGAAAAGAAATTAAAATAAACTAAACAAAGTTTTATCAAATTACTTTAAGCAAATGTAGAAAGAACAACCTAGAGTTATTAATCCATTATTTGCTCCTTAGATTTTATGCCCACAGAATCAATCATACTTAAACTTAATTCATTAATCTAGAGTCTTAATAGTTAAAAGTGCTTGTCGGCTGTCAGTCCGCTTACAACTCTATCTCAATTGATTATGTAATCTCTCACACAATTACATAAGGTGCACATTAACCCAATTTCACTCTAATTTGATTATGTGAAGCCTCTAGGTATATATCTATCCTAGCTGCAAAATAGATTAAATCTAATTCCACATACTTAATCTCATGGTCCATTTAAGATTCTCTTTGTCAAGTTCAATCATAAATTCCCAGAACCAACTCAATGGTATTCAAACAACACTAAGCAAGTTATGATTAAAGACAAGATTAAGCAAACTGAATTCAATAAAAATATAACTAAACAGTGGGAATAATCTCTAAATCACAGACAATTTCATAATACTCTAGGTTGAAAAGAGAAATTAGCCACACATGAATATAATCAGTCTCAGCAGCGGGTTCATACTCAAAATCATGATTAGAACCAAATAGGAATAACGAACTGACAGAGTGGAATGACAAAAGGGAAGTTGTGCTCTGGTTCAGTATCTCCAAGTGATGAAACACCAACGATGAGCCTAGCTTTCTTCTTCCCCAATCACTCTCTTAGATTCAGTGTCGTCCGATCCGTTGAACCAGTTGGTGTTTACCCTCAAGTCCAGTGAAGCAGGAGAAGATCGTCC